CCTCCATGTCTTTTCCTGCCTGGATAACTCATTTCTTTTTGGAAGAAATATCAGTTTTGAAGAAATTTTGGTTTTGTTCATTTTCTCTACTGTGGAGTTTTTATTTCATTATTTTTTATTTATTATTTGCTTCTTTCCACTTAATTTGAGTTTAATTGGCTTGTCTTTTTATGATTTCTTAAGGTTGATAATATAAATTATTGATTTTTAAGCCTTTCCAACATAAGCCTATAGAGCTAAACACTTCCATCTCGACCCTGCTTTAGATGCATCCCACAATTTTTGATATAGTGTTTCCATTATCATTTAGTTCAAGATATTTTCTAGTTTCTCTTATGTTTTTTTTTTTTTTTTTTACCTACAGGTTATTTTAGAAGTGTATTTTAAATTTTCTAAATATTGGCATTTTTCTACATATCTTACTGATGTATGTTCATTGTGATCAAAATACATACATGTTCTGTAAAATTTTAGTTTTTTGAAATGTATTTACTTTATGTCCAAGAATATGACCTATGTAGTGAATATTTCATGTACATTTGTAAGGAATGTGCAGGATTTGCTTTTTGTGTTCCATAAATGTCATTTAGATCAATGTGGTTGATAGTGTCTTTCAGGTAGCCTGTATCCTTACTGATATTTTTGTTTATTTTCTACCAAATTGCTGAGAGAAGGGTGTTTAAAATCTCAAACTATGATTATTTATTTATATATTTCTTTCTTTACTTCTGTTGATTTTTTTCTTCACATATTTTGAAGCGGTTTTACATGGTGTATACCCTTCTATAATGATTGTGTCATCCTGATAAATTGATCGTTTTATAATGATGAAGTGTCCCTCATTATTTCTAGAAATATTCCTTGTCTTGAAATCCATTTTGTCTGATGATTATAGCCACTCCAGGTTTCTTAATTAGACTTTTAAAGAAATTAAAAGAAGAAAAGAAAAATATACCATCTTTTGTCATTACCCCACATATTTATCATTTCAAATAATCTTTATTCCTTCTTGTAGATCCAAGTTTACCATCTGGTGTTATTTCCCTTCATCCTGAAGAACTTCCTTTTGCATTTCATACAGTGTAGGCAGCAGAGTTTCTCAGGTTTTGTTTCTTATAAAATGTCTTTATTTCACCTTCCTTGTAAGAATAGTTTTACTGGATATAGAATTCTGAGCAATAGGTTTCTTTTTCCCCAGCATGTTAAAGATGTCACTCCATTGTCTCCTGGCCACCATGGCTGCTGATGAGAGTTGGCCGTCATCTATGCCGTCGCTCCCCTGAATGCATGTGGTTTTTCTCTGACTGCTTTCAATCTCTCTTTCTCTCTCTCTCTTTAACTTTAGCAGTTTAACAACTAAACTAAAGCAGTTTAACCACTACATTGTTTTTCTTTTTATTTATTCTTCTTGGGGTTTACTGCAAAGACAGTATTTCCAAATAAGGTCACGTTCTGAGAGTCCAGGTGGGCATGAATTTGGGGAGACACTATTCAACCCACTGTAACTCCCCAAAGTGATCTGTCCATTCTGCCTAAACTCCTGCCCTAAGTTTTAAGGGCTGCACCTGGCATCTGGGGGCTCTGGGTTTGGTGAATCAGTATGACTTCATGAGCTTTACAGCACCATTATTGTCACTTCAGACCACTGTTTGGTAGTTCCATTTGTCTTTAAATGTTAGCAGCTTCATCCCCCTAACAATTTGAGTCACCCCCTGCAGCCCCGCCCCGCCCCACTCTGGCGATGTTGATGAGATGTGACCATAAGAACTACACACTAGTTGAGGGCCTGTGGATCTCAAGGTTTTGAATCCAGACAGAGTCATTTTTCTACCCACTTTCCAAAACCGCATCGCTTTATTAAACCCAGATTATATGGACAGAACACTAGCCACTATCTCTGGTTGCCTGTTTTTGGAAATAAACTTTTATTTGAACACAGTCAAGCCCTGGCTGGTGTGGCTCAGTTGGTTGGAGCGTCATCCTATACACCCAAATGTTTGAGGGTTCAATTTCCAGTCAGGGCACATACCTAGGTTGCAGGTTCAATCCCTGGTCAGGACACATGCGAGAGACAACTTATTGATGTTTCTTTCCCACACTGATTTTTCTCTCCCTTTCTCCTTCTTTTTCTCTCTAAAATCAATAAACATATTTTTTAAAAATTAAAAAAAAAAAGAACAAGCCCTGGCTGGTGTGGCTCAGTGGATTGAGCACCGGCCTGCAAACCAAAGGGTCGCTGGTTCAATTCCCACTCAGGGCCCAGACCTGGGTTGGGGGCCAGGTCCCCAGTAGGGGGCACACAAGAGGCAACTACACGTTGATGTTTCTCTCCCTCTGTTTCTCCCTCCCTTCCCCTCTGCCTAAAAATAAATAAATAAAGTCTTTTTAAAAAAGAACAGTCAAGATCATTCATTTATATGTCAGCAAACACTACTGTCATGCCACTGTCATACTAGAAGATAATGTCTAGTAGCTGCATAGGGACCGACCAAAAAGTCTCTGGTACTTTGCAGATAAAGTTTTCTGTCCCTGGTCTAAACAATATAAGCCAAACAGTGCAATAAACTCAGACAATACATGATAAATAGTGTGTTAAACCAGGGAACATGTTGACATGAAAACTCCATGTGACACGGAGCCCTAGCCAGTGTGGCTCAGTTGGTTAGGCATCATCCTGCAAAGTGAAGGGTCGCTGGTTTGATTCCAGGTCAGAGCACAGGCCTGGGTTGCGGTTCAGTCCCCTGGTTGGGGTGTGGACAAGAGGCAACCAATTGATGTTTCTCTCCCGCTCTTTCTCCCTCCCTTCCCTTCTTTCTTTAAAAAAAACAAAACAAAACAAAAACAAAAACCTTACGATAAGGAATAACTTGTTTTTTGAAAGGTGTCTTCTTGTCACAGTAAGCCAAGCATGGACTCAATATCACCAAGGCTCTTACAGCTCTTCTTGCTTCATAGGACTTGGACTTTGGAGCAAAATTATTTCTGCCTGCGGATCAAAGAACTGGTCTCAGTGAAGTCAACTTTCTCACTTTATTGCTAGTGGATTCTTTTCACAGAGTTCTAGCCCACTTATTTCCTCACAGTGTTACCGACGTTACCCACTTCTTAGCTTCAAATGGGAACAAAGTGCTGTTTAATGTGCAAATGACTGATTTAAATGTTAGGGAAAACTGTAAATAAGAGAACTTATTTAAGCAATTTCCAACAGAATATTCCACAGGTCATTTCTGTCAGGAAGGCAGAGAGAGTTGGAGACTCAGGAAATAAAGACTGGAAAGTCACAATTTCCGTCTCTGAAAGACGCATAGTGGAGGTGCCAGTCATCATAGGACTTTGGGGACACCTAGTGGTGAGAACTGAGTCAGGCTCACAGGAAACAAAAAATGCCACAGACACAGACTGGAGACCCATCCAGTGGCTCTCATTGGTAACAATGGCATTTGGGAAGGGGACTAGAGGAAGTCATGGAATAGTCCCTGTAGATAAAGATGAGATTACACAAACACACTCAGATTCAAACACACCACCCTTTCTGCTTCCCTTAGACAAATTATTCTGTTACCAGTTTTTCTTAACATTAAAAAAAAAAAAAGGCGTTTAAAAAAATTCTTCACTCATTCTTACAGATGAGAATTCTTGGAGTGGTAGAGAAACATGTGAAAGTTCTGGCGCTATATCCTGGGCACCATGATGTGTGCCGTGCCATTCAGGCCTCCCTGTGAGGCGGGGCCAGGAAACTCCATTTGTGGGAGTGACATGCTTAGAGCTGGGGACAGGACGGGGACAGGGGTGGGTGTGTCTGACCACAAAGCCACCTCCTCTCTGCAGTTTGTGTATTTACTGCCTCTCAAATGCTTCAGGTCACTAGTGGTTTGTTTAAAAGTGAAGACAGTTTGACTTTCTGCATTTTATAGAATGGTTTTGGCCCTGGCTGGTGTGGCTCAGTGGATTGAGCACCAGCCTGTGAACCGAAAGGTCGCTGGTTTGATTCCCTGTCAGGGCACATGCCTGGGTTGCAGGCCAGGTCCCCAGAAGGGGGTGCACAAGAGGCAACCACACATTGATGTTTCTCTCTCTTTCTCCATCTTGTTCTCTCTCTCTAAAAATAAATAAAATCTTTTTAAAAAATGGTTTTGTATCATTTGCCACTTTGTTCTGATATTAAATGGGTCTTTTTGTAGAGAATTAATTGTGTAACTACCTATTAGAAAGATACATGCATCCGGCTGCAAGGAAACGCACTCTTTACTTTCTCATGGGCAAAGATCTCTAGGAGCAGAAGGCAATTTTGACTTACTGCTGAAATGCTTGAGGACTTTTGTCCAGCCCAGGAGAAGGTGTTTCTTTGCTCTCGCTCTATATCACCTTTTTCCCTAAGTCATTCGTTCTTAACTGAGGGTGGAGGATCTGCCCCCAGGGGACACTGGACTATGTCTGAGGACATTTTTGGTTGTCACGACTTGGAGAGGGGTGCTCCTGGCAACTAACGGGTGGGGGCCAGGGATACTACTCAACACCCATCCGAAGCCAGGACTTCAGCCCAGAGGATGACCTGGCCCCAACGTCACAGTGCCGAGGGGGAGAGACCCCGCCTAGGAAAATGCACTTGCCAGGCTCCCCAAATAGAAGGCACCCAGCAGGAGCTTTTGACTTGCTGGGCTAATGAGTGAACAGTTCCATGAGCCCTGAAAATAGTTCAATCTGATCAGCCTGGAACAGGGACAGATAGTTGTCCCCAGCCTGCCACTGACGAACTCCGGCAGGACTACTCTTTGGTTTGATATTTGAAAGCACAGTCCCTGACCCCCGCCCCTCTCCCTTTCTCTGGAATAGTTCTGCAACCTGTTCCCCATTCCTCACCCAGCCAGCCTGCGTCCCTGCCCTGCACCTGGAAGGCTGTAGGGAATCCCCACTCGCCTGTCCTGTCAGCATCTAGAGTTACCCCCGTGGACTTCATGACTGCAGCCCGGCCCACTCACCCTCTCTCTGCCTCTCTTCAGAACTGAGCATGCAGAGTTCAGAGGGTGCAGCGGACTCGCCAGCTTCTGTGGCTCTGTGTTCGTCATCGGCCGCCCAGACCCCCGTGGCCCAGCCAGTGCCGGCCTCCCCGCAGGTAACAGACCAGCCCGGAAAGACCATTGTGGTCAGTGTGGCCTCATCCCCTGTGGTTTCAAAAAGCACTTGAATCAGCAGGGAGATATTTATGTTCTCCTGAATTGCCTTCTCAGCCCCAAGGCTGCGGCTGCTGGAATAGCTGCACCTTCTCTATCTCCTCACGTCATGTTATTTGGCTTTTTCACTATTTGTGCAAAAGGTCTCACCACAGAATCAGTGATAAAAACTCAAAAAGAAAGCCCCACTCCCCAAATCTGACTTAATTTATTCTTTTCTTTTAAGGGAAGTTTTCTTCTACCCTGGAAATGACCCTTTTACACAGAAAGACTTTATGAATAAGGCAAAAGATACATGAAAATTCTCAACATTTGGATCAAAATTGAATCTAGCATTAGAATGAATATATTTAAATTTTGTGGAGAGGGAATTTTTATAATAAGGCTCTTTCAAAACAAAAACAGTAACTCAAAAAGATATCTGTGACCCCTTAATCATTGCAGCTTTACATACAGTAGCCAAGATCTGGACATGAGCTACGTGTCTATCCATGGACAATTGGACAAAGAAGATGTGGTACATAGAGACAATGCATTATTACTCAGCCATAAGGAAAAAGAAAGAATGAAATGATGCCATTTGCAATGACATGGAGGGACCTAGGTGGAATTATGCTAAATGAGATATCAGACAGAGAAAGACAAAGGCCGTATGACCTCATAGGCAAAACCACACATTAAGCTCATAGGTGCAGAGAACAGATTGGTGGTTGCCTGAGGAGTGTGAGGGTGGGCGGAATGGGTCCTGCCATGGCCATGGTGCTCCTCCCAAGTTCTGGGGCCCCCATCCCTGCTAGAGATGCATCCAGGCCCCCCCGCCCCCGACACTATCAATGGCAACATCCCCACCCTTTGCCCCTCCCCTCCCATCCCCAGATGCACCATCAGCTGTTCAAGCTGAGCCTCCATGCCTATCCAGGGAATTCCCTTTCCCCCAGCACTTGTGCCCACAGGGTGCATTGTGTTCCCTCAATAACGAACACCCTGGGCTTCCTGACCAGTTCCTTGCCAGAAAGAGGAATCCTTGCAGCTCAGTTCCCATGATGCACTGCTTCCCCTCTCAGCCCTCCTGAGCCGCCCAAAAGAGCTTCCCATCACGCAGTCATACTCTGCCACCAGCTCCATGTGGCTCTGAGCACTGGAAATATGGCCAGTGCACCCGCGAACTGAATTTTACAGTTTATTTAAATCAAGTGAAGAGAAGCAAGGGAGAGAGGGAGAGAAACATCAGTTGGGTACCTCTCACAGGCCCCCAACCAGGGACCTGGCCTGCAACCCAAGCACCTGTCCTTACTGGGAATGGAACAGGCAATCTTTAGGTTCACAGGCTGGTGCTCAATCTGCTGAGCCACACCAGCCAGGGCTAAATCAAGTGAAATTTAAATGGCCACATGGCTACACAACTAGTGGCTACCATATTGGACAGCTCAGCTTTAGAATATATGAATGTAAATCCTTAATGTTCTTATTTATTTAATTGGGGTGAAATTCACATAATATGAAAGTCACCATTTTACAGTGCCCCAATCAGTGGCCTTTCTGTACATTCATCACCCCAGAACAGCAACCCCATCCCCCATAGTTGTCACTCCCCATACCCCTCCCCAGCCCCTGGCAACCACGAACTGCTCCCTGTCTCTGTGGATTTGCCTGTTCTGGACGTTTCACATAAATGGAATCACACACTCTGGTCTTTTGAGTCTGGCTTCTCTCACTGAGCATCGTGTTTTCAAGGTTCATCCACAAGTAGCACATCTGGGCTTCACTCCTTTTTGTGACTGAGTAATATTCCATTGTGTAGAGGGACCACATTGTGCGCCTCCATTCGTCCACTGATTTTTTCACCATTTGTTTCTTTTTTGTCTTAGACTGTGAGCTCACAGAGTGCCGGGCCCCTGTTGAATTCTTCTTATACAGTGGTGTTTAGGGGGCAAAAGACTGTGGAATCACCACCAGCAGTGACATTTCGAGTCCACATCGGAAAAGTCATTGACTTCTAAAGCCCCAGCTCTATGGAAACAAAACACTCCTATTTCTCTCTCGACTCTGGGGTCTATTTGATCCTTTTCATTTCATAGTTTTGTGTGTCCAATAAAGCAACAGCAGGCCAAGCGGCAGTAGCCCTGGTTGTAATCTGTTTTCAGGCCTAACCTCTGACAAGCCTGAATGTCCTTCTCTCCTTCGCTTTTAGAGGGTGCTGGTCCAGACGACGAGCTCGGCTTCCAAAGGGGCCCAGATGCAGCCAATCTCCCTCCCCAGAGTCCAGCAGGTGCCACAGCAGGTAACCACAGCACAGGTGACATGGGACGTACTGGCACTTAGGCGTCGGGGGCCCTCTCTGATTTATGTATTCTTTTCTATCATTGCTGTTCCTCTTCTTTGGCGTTTTCAGTTCCTTACCAGAAGGTTCTTTGGAAGCTATGTTTTTTAAAAAAATCTTTCACTACAAACAGTTTTGCAGCAAGCCAAGACAGCTGGTGATATTTTATTCATTCAGAAATTCAGTGTGTGGGGTGCAAGCCAGCCCCACAATAGAGCGCTGGGTGCTGGGGCAGACAGACGTGCAAACAGATAGTGAAGGTTCTGGACTGCAGGACTATGTAAACTCCTGGGGCAGCGAACCCTTCTCCAGGCAAGTGTTGCACCCTCAGACAAAAGCGGTGACTGAGGAAGAGCCTCTTGTGGAATTAAATGATCTGGAAAGAAAGCTTGAAAGCGCAGACTCACCCACCGAACAGCAGCACAGACCATCAACTCAGTCGATGGGATGTAGGACAGTGGTCAGCAAGCCTTTTCTTTTGGAAAAAGTCAAACAGTGCATTTTTTGGCTTTGCAGGCCAGACAGTCTCTGGTACAACCACCCAACTCTGCCTTGTCTCCAGAGTAGCCCTGGATGTAAAAGAGGGGGCATGGCTGTGTGCCAGTAAAACTTCATCTGCGGAACAGGCAGCCAGATCTGGCCTGAGGGCTGGAGTTGCCTGCTCCTGCTCTGCAAGATGCTGAATTAAAATTAGTGCACACTCCTCCCCGGAAGGGACCAGGAGGGAAACACAGAGATGGCCAAGATGCAGAGAACACACCTCTTTCTTCAGAGGTTCCTGCTCAGTGGAGTAGTGTGTGTAGAGGGGTTTGTCCATTCTGAGGACAGAGGAGGCTTGCGGGGTCAGAGGAAAAGCAAAGGTTCTAAGCAGGCCCAGACGGGAACTTTGGTTCCCCGAGAGAGGGGAGACTAAAACCAATGTCACAATTCCAGAAGCTTTCCCTCCTCTGTGGGGCTGGGCCTGGCCATCCCTTTCTCTATGGGCAACTCAGACTTACTGGGGGTGACTTGTGCATTTCGCTTGGTCCCCTAAGGCAAAGCCCACTCACATGGTGACTCCTGGGCTCTGCGGGGTATGCCGCTACTCCAGGGGTTGGGCGTGTATGAGCGCACACCGTGTCGGGCTATCCTCGGGGGCGGGCATCAGCTCCACACACGGGCCTAGGGAGAACGGAACCTAGCCCTCGATTTTGCTGCCCCAGATGAGGTTGGATTAGGCACCAGTTAAGGTTCCCGCAGCGGTGAGATTCTGAAGCCCTCTGTATAGAGCCCTAGGCCTCCACCACCCGGACCCATGTCCCTCAGGAGCCACCAGCTGAGGTTGTGAGCTGGCAGGGACCAGATGGGGCCGGGCTGGGCTCCTGCCATCTCTCCCTCTCCCCACCCCCCACTCCAGGCCCATCGTTTGCTCCAGTTCTCCGACTGTCACGGTCTCTCCCCAGTGTGACTCCCAGGACCCCTGCCCTTCTGCTGGGGAGGGGCACCAGGGCCACCTGAAAAAGGCATGGGGGTGGGGGCACGTGGGGTGTGACCAGCTTGAGCCTCCTGCCCTACCTTTGGGGGTGGATGACAGGTCCAGTGCTCAGAGGTCAACGTTTCGTCCACAACTCTGGTCTCCGCTGTCCACGTGATTAGACCTCATGGCCGGTGGCTGGCAGGCCCCAGGGCGCTTCCCCGCTCTGCGGCTTCGCTCCCAGCCGTCAGCGGGGCCCTTCGCCCCGTGGAGCAGGCTTGGCCCCCTGTGCACAGCGGTGGGGCCTGTCTGGGACTGTCTCTCCCAGTTTTTCCTACAAACCCCAACTGTGGGCAGGAAAACTGTAATGCAGTACTCAACATTCAATAAAGGCAATTGAAGTTATTTTCAGCTTGAGTAATGGAAAATCACAAACAAGTAGACTATACTGTGCGTAACACAAAATATCTGATGTTTCAGGTCCAGCCCGTGCAGCACGTGTACCCACCCCAAGTGCAGTACGTGGAAGGCGGAGACACTGTCTACACGAATGGAGCCTTGTACGTGGTTTTTCCTCCCCTCGGAAGGGCCCTCCCTGAGAACCTTAGGCCACGTCTGGAACCCTCCTTCATGGCTCTTTCACCTTTGTCCATTTCAGGATGTGCTTGCACAAATTCCTCTCCCTTATCCTCTGGGTGATAAGTTGGAATCATGACTATGGTATTAAGTCATCTCAGTCCTGTGGAGCTTTCAGAGACCACACGCCTTCGTACTTTTTACTTCTAGAAAAGGCAGTCTTAAAAACAAACAAATAGAAAATAAACCCTAGTCCAGCTTCTGAGTGTCACCAGGATTCAGTCTTCACAATCCAGAAATCTGCTTTCTCCTCCTGGCCTTTGTCATCCTCTGGCTCCATACAGTGTTGATACAACTTGATTTTTTTGTCAGGACTTAAAGGGTTTTCTGCTTGCAAACTATGCAATGCTTGGGGCAGAAAATGACACATTTCTCGGGGAGCTCATTGTGCTGGAGGCATAAGTCCTTTTGCTCATTTAATTCCAAGAGCTCCCGATTGCAAGTTCAGGGATGGAGAGCGGGGGTATGGTTCAGGAGCTGCGTGAGCTTCCACAGCTCACCGCTGACGGCTCTAACACAGACAGGCCTGCGCATGTTTAAAACCCGTGACATCTGGTCGAGGTATGTAGGTTGTACCAGTGTCAGCTTCCTGGGTTTGACTGTGCTACAGTTATATGCGATGTCACCTGGGGGACAGGACAGGAGTGTGCACCTCCCAGATGTCGGGCCGCCCTGTCACCCAGCGGGGCCTTCCCTCAGGACAGGTCACTGACCTTGAGTCACCACCAAGGAAAAACCGCTACCAGCCGCCTTTTGCTATGACCAGAGTACTGGAGTGGAACTTAAAAACAATTTTTTAAAGATTTTATATATTTATTTTTAGAGAGAAGGGAAAGGACGGAGAGAGAGAGAGAGAGAAACATTAATGAGCGAGAGAAACTTATCTATCTGTTGCCTCTCATATGCACCCCAACTAAGGACCAAACCCACAGTCTAGGCATGTGCCCTGACTGGGAATCAGACCAGCGACCTTTAGCTTTGTGGGACAACGCCCAACCAACTGAGCTACACCAGCTGGGGCTGGAGCTTAAAATTTTAAGAGTCAACATATGTAGTTAATTAAACATTTGATCCAGATGTTAAAGGAATATTAGACAAATTCTTTATATCACTTAGAAATTGTTTTTATTATGCAGTTTTATTTTTTAACCTTTTTTGTTAAAATTATTGAATTACAGGAAGTTGTAAAATTTGCCCAGCACCCTTTACCTAGTCTCCTCCAGTGGTGACATCTTCTCTGACTGTGGGGCAATACCAGGACAGTGACACTGGGACGGTACTGTTAACTAGCCCATGGGCCTTACTCAGTGTCACCCGTCTCTGCACATCTGTGTGCATGTATGTGCACGTGTATAGTTCGATGCAGTTTTTTCTCATGTACTGATCTCGTGCAAGCATAAGATACAGACTTGTTCCATCCTCACAAAGGAACGCCATCATACAACCCATTTATACACTTAGAATTTTTAACTGATCAGTCCTACAAGTCAGCCTGTACTTCTGAATATTTTCAGAAATGATTGCTTTGGACTTTGCACCGCGGGGCATTTGGTATCCAACTTAACCCATATGTTCAGCCTTGTCAGGCTCTCACCTTGACATGAACTTTGGTGGATTCCTTCAAGACTCAAAGAGGGAACCATCTCTCTTTCTGGCAGGCGGACGGCCTACGCCTATAACCCGGAGCCTCCGATGTATGCCCCGAGCAGCGCGGCATCTTACTTCGAGGCCCCGGGCGACGCCCAGGTGACCGTGGCAGCCTCATCCCCGCCGGCAGTCCCCTCCCACAGCATGGTGGGCATCACCATGGACGTCGGAGGGAGCCCCATCGTCTCCAGCACGGGAGCCTACCTCATCCACGGGGGGATGGACAGCACCAGACACTCCCTGGCCCACACTTCCCGCTCGTCACCAGCAACGGTATGTACTAGGCTCTTGAAGCAGCAGATCAGGCCCTGAGTAAACTAGCAGCAGAGGCAGGGATGGTGAGGAGAAGGCAGCCTGGAGCCCTTGAATGGAGTCCTGCCAGCCACACCAGGCCCTGTGACCCAAGGCAAGTCTCAGCCTCTTTGAACCTCTGTTCCTCCACTGGTTAAAAAACAAAAACAAAAAGGGTGAACCTTCCATCATCAGCTGTTTTGAACATAGTATGTGAGTAAAAACCCCTCCATATTGGCAGGTGCTGCTGCTGCTGCATTGGTGGTGTCATCGTTGCCGTGGTCACTGTTACCCGCTCTCAGAGGGTCCACCCATGTGAAGCAAGGCTGAAATAAACAAGAGGCGGTTTCTCTTAAGAGCTATGCCCAGTGGTTCCTGTGACGGTCCTGTCCAAAACAGTATCTGCTTTAAAGGCTTAACTTCCAAAGCTTTAGTTTCTGTGTTTACTTTTATTTTTTAAATGAATACAGAGTAAAATTGACTCTTTCGGGTGTACAGTCCAGAGTTTCGATGCACATGCAGATGCGTGTAGCTACTGCTGCAGTTAGGATCCAGGTGGTCGTCCGCCCTAAGCTCCCATGGGGGGTTTCTTTGCAGTCATGCCCACCCTTCACCCGCAAGCCCTGGCACCCGCTGACCCTTTCTCCATCACGATAGGTTTGTTTTTCCGGGACTGTTGTATAAATGAAATCATTGAGTTCAGCTTCTTTCACTCAGTGTAATATGCAGTCAGTGAGCCAGCATTTGCTCCTTGGTGACCGAGTAGTATTCCGGCTCATCCAGTCACCAGCTGAGGGTGATTGGGGAGGTTTCTGGTTTGGGGCGATTATGAATAAAGCAGCTATCAGATGTATGGACATACGTTTTCTTTCTTTTGAGTAAATACCTACGAGTGGATTCCTGGCTGACGTGGTAAGTGAGTGTTCACCTTCATTCGAGATCACCAAGCGTTCCTCAAGTGGTCGCGCCATTTCACGTTTCCCAGCGACGTGTAAGAGTCCCTGTCGCTCCACTCCTCCCCGGCACTCCGTGTTGTCAGCATTTTTCATTCCAGCCGTGTTCGTAGGCGTGTGGTGGTATCTCACTGTGGTTGTAATTTGCATTTTCTTAATCGCAAATGATGGTAAGCAGTTTTCACGTGCTATTTGCCTTGTGTATATAGGGACCTCTTTGGTGTCAGCTCCAGTTGTTGGCCTATTTTTAAACTGGGTTGTTTATTTTCTTACTGTTGAATTTTGAAAATTCTTTGTATGTTCTTTATATAACAAATCACCTGTCACATATGCAATTTGCGAATATTTCCTCGCAGTTTTTATATTGTCTTTTCATTCTCTTTAAGAGTGTCATTTGCAGAGAAAAAAAAAAGTTATTTTGATCAAATCTAATTTATTGATGTTTCTTATTTGAAAAGACCATGTTTTTGATGTCATGCTGAGAACTCTTTCCCTATTCCCAGGGCATAAGAATTTTCTCCTGTTTTCTTTGAAAAGTTTTGTAGTTTTATATTTGGTTGTGCTTTGTTTTGAGTTAAATTTTGTGTAAGATGTAAGATTTAGGTCAAAATTTGTTTTTATGCATATGAAATCACCAGTGGTTCCGGCATCATTTGTTGAAAAGACCGTTCTTCCTTCATTGGATCACTTTTGCACCTTTATCAAAAATCAATTGGCCATGTGTAGACCTGTTTCATTGATCTGTGTGCCTGTTCCTTTTTTAGTACCACTGTCTTAATTACTATAGCTTTATAATGAGTAGTTTCTTCAACTTTATTCTTGTTTAGTATAGTGTAAGCTATTTATATAAATTTAGAATTTTCTATATCTACAAAAATTCCTAGTAAGGTTTTGATTAAACAGCACTAAAACCTGTAGCTCAATTTGGGGGAGAATTGACTTGGCTCTTCTAGTCCATGTACATAGTATGCTTTCCCATTTTCTTAGATCCTCTTTGATTTCTTTCCTCAGCATTTTGTAATTTTTAATATGCAGATCCTGTACCTACTTTGTTAGATTTCTACTTAAGTATGTCATCTTTTTGAAGCTATTGTAAGTGATATTAATTTTTAATTTCAGTTTCTAACTGTTCATTGTTAGTATGTGAGTATACGGCTATTTTGGGCTGTTGTCCTTTTGTCCTGCAACCTTGTGGAACTCACTTTTTAGTTCTAAGACTTTTTTTGTTGTTTGCAGATAGGAACAACTTTATTTCTTCCTTTCCAATCTGGATAACTTTTATTTCTTTTTTGCCTTTTTGCTCTGGCTAGAACTCCTGTACTGTGTTGAATAGGGGCGGTGAGTGTGGACGTCCTTGCCTTGTTCCCAGTCTTGGGGGGAAATCTATCTTTCGTGGCTAAGTGTGATGTTAGCTGTAGGTCTTCATAAATGCCCTGTTTCAGGTTGGGAAAGTTCCCTTCTACTCCTAGTTTTCAGAGAGTCTTTACCATAAATGGGTATTGAGTTTTGTCAAATGCTTTTTCTTCATTGATACAATCATGAATTTTTTTCTTCTGGCTGTCAATATGATGGATTACATTATTGATTTTTAGTTAGAAAAGAACTCCTTATTTTGGTATTGGGATAATCTGAGGTAGAAGGTGATGTTCCAGCCTCATCCCTGTTCTTTTTGGGTGTTTCGGTGTCACCCTGACATCAGAGAGACCGACTGAGTCCTGCTGTCCTCTCTCTTTCCTTGTCCCCAGAACCTGGCTCTGAGGACGGGCGTGAAGAGAAGTCACTTGGGTTCCGAGTGCCCCTGCTCCGTCGGAGGGGTGCTCGCTCGCACCCCCGCCCCTGCAGTCCTTGCTGCGCTGTCAGCTCAGCAGGGGCCCGGGCCCTGGGGCCAGACACACTCCTCCTCCAGAGGCCTGGCTAGGGGGACCCAAGCTGAGAGCCATCAGCGGTCAGAGAGCATTCCTCACGCGCTACGTTAACTTCATGGACATGGCAGGCTCAGTTTTATCAAACTGTATCAACTTGTAATAGTAGAAAATACTAGAATTGCAGGCAGTAAATTTACTGAGAAACAGCAGCATTCTCTCTGGCCCCCACCCTCTTGGTCACAGGCAAATGTGCATCTCAGACCCCAGGCCACCGGCTACTGTGGTTTGTTGTCTGGGTTGCTTTTGAAGAATCAAGTTTTTAAATCCATTGGAAATCCATGAATGGGCTGTGTTTTGACACGCGTCTCCATGAAAACCCATCGGGGGTGAGCACCTCCAATGAAAAGCTAATCACTGATTCTGCCTGTTTGTGTTGTTCAGCGATTTGGTTTTGACCTAGGAACATCTCATGATGATGCAGCGAAGACCCAAGGGACTTTCTGGGAGCCACAAACAGAAAGGGCCCAGTGGCTGCAACAGAAATAAAGTACAGCTTCTGTATCTGTCTGCCAATTCTTTTATGTTGAAGTTTTGGGATTTTAAGTTAATCCTGAAAAGGGAGCATGAAGACCAGGGCAAATCGCTACCTATACCCTCAATGAGTGATTTTAGACTTTTGGTGACAACTTTTCTTTATTTCTGGTTAAATTTTCATCAGTATTATAAATCTTTTAAAATATATATCTTTTTAGTTTATTTGAGCCAAATAGATGACATGCTGGGAAGCAAAATCTCAAATACCCCAAGTATTATAAATCTTAAGAACAAATTGCCCAAGTGGTTAGTTTTTGATAAAAACCGTTTTCTGTTGCACTTTTTTTTTAACTACATGGAGCAGAGATACTATCTTGAGAGGTTTACCTTAGTCATTTCAGACCAGGTTAACCATCTTAGACACAGCCCAAAGGGCAAAGTGCCCAGGTGCCAAACGTAAGGAGGGTCCCCTCCAGGTGCTGCACCTGCCCTGGCACGGCCTGGCGCCCGAGCACCTCCTTAAGTCCCGTGTCCTGGGAGCCTCACTGGCCCCACCCCAGGCCTCGCCCAGTTGTGGAGACTTTGGTGCCTCTGGCCTCACCGGGTATTCTGCAGCAAGCATGTATAATATTATTACTTATATAACTTTAAAATGTTTAATTAGCAAAATAAAAATGGACAAACAGCCGCAACATGCCCCGCTTCCCTAAGCCAGCGCCCCTCGCCCCAGGGTGAGCCCGCCGCTCCCCTCCTGCCTGGCCGCGACCGCGGGGCAGCTCCCTGCTTCCGGCGCAGTTCCACGATGTGCGCTGCTGCCTCGAGATCCCAGTCGTGCTGCTGCCCTCCTTTCAAAACGCTCTCCGTTTTCTTTAAAGGTCCAAAGGGGTTGCTCATGCAACGTCGAAGCTCTTATTTTCTCCCTTTATGGTCCCAGGAGTAAGCCCTGTTTTAGGACGGAGGGTTAAGCTGCAGCCGGTTTCCGTCCCGGTCTCCGCTCCTCCGTGGTCTTTCCAAGGAGAAGCCCGGCCCCTTCCCGCTTCTAGCCCGAGGAGGCACGGTCCGGACATCGAACGAGGGCAGACCCAGCCTCGAGAAGTGGGTGCTTCTGCAGCAGTGGTCACTGCTGGCCCTTCCTAGGGGGGACCCCTGTCGGGCAAGTCCTTTTAATGGGGTTATTATGGTATAAATGGAATGGCCATTTGGGCAGAGGCTAATGAACTTGAGAAGTAACCTCCACCCTCCCTTGGGAGGCACGACTGTAGTTCGTAAATCAGGTAAAATCTTGCTGGGATTATACATGAAACACTAGGGGTTTTTAAATTTTTTTCTTTAAAAATTTTGAAATAATTGCTAATTTTAATATACTTGGGAGCTTTAAAACTTGTCTGTTGCTATTATGTTAGCTTCTTGAGTCACCATATCTTTGAACACAAGTCCTTATGTATTGTCTGTCCTCTGTCCAAATACACCCTTGAAGCAGGCCTTCTGTTAATAATTTGTGTGGCAGAAACCAATGATATTAGATGGCCAATAAAAAGGAGTGTGTGCTGCATGGCACCAAATAAAAAAATAAAGATTAAGCTCCTGATAAATCAAGAAAGAGATGCACGGGCATACACATGATACCAAAACATGACGGGCACTGCCAGGAGGTCAAGGAACAGAAATGACCGAGGGGAGGCGGCACGCGCGCCCCCCGCCCCCCGTGGCTCTTCCGTGCTGCTCCCCGTGCGGGCCTGCGCAGGTAGCACTTTGATGAAACTTTTAAAATAAACTCCAGTCAAACATAAAAGTAATCTTCATTGTAAGCATAACTCAAAGATTAAACCCTCACTTCTCCAGCCACCAAGAGGACTAATAAAGGCATTGTACTTACGGAAGAAGAATCCCTCCCTCAGGTCAAGTCCTTTTGCCCAAGGGTGCGGCAGAGGCCTCCGCCTGTGGGGCCGGAGGGAGCGCCGCAGCGCCCTCTGCTGGTCCCAAGTGCGCGCTGCGTCCTCCGTCCTGACTCCTGGGCTTCAACCTCCCTGTCTGGCATCTGGAGTCTGGCCGCTGAGGCTTGACAGTGGTTTCCTGACCTTCATCGCCCTCATGTATTTAAGTGATATTTTTATTTTCAAGTACAGTGAACACCTTGGGAAGTTCCACTGTGTATTAAATTAATTTTCTGTGTCAGTGGACGTGTTTAAATCCTAGTAATAGCTATGGGTTTTTGAAGATGATCTTACTCAGCAAATCTTAATTTGCATTCTTTTCAATTATGCTCATAACACCACGGTTTTTAGCAGCCAGTCTTTAGTATGTCCAGCAACACTGTGGGTGTCCCCAGGACCCGTTAAGGGGCTCCGCGAGGTCAAAACTTTTCATAACAATACTGTGTCATCACTTGCACTGATTCTGCAAAATCAACACCTTTGAAACAGATGGTCACAAATCACGGCAGGAATCAAGGGAGAGGCATCAAATTCTCCTAGAAGTTACTGATTCTTCACCATCGTGCTTTCAGTAAACAAGAAGAGGAAATAAAACCAAATACCAGTTTTACTTAAGAATGTCTTTGATGAAGTAGTAAAAAATATCAATGTTATTAAATCTCAGTCCTTGAGTACATGTCTTTTTTATATGCTGGGTGACAAACAGCCTGTCTGCAGTCTGCCAAAGTGCAATGGCCAGCTCGAGGGAAAGCCCCTGTGCAATGAGTGGGGAGCAGAACTGGCCACTTGTTTCATAAAATGTCATTTTTGCTTGAAAGAATAAATGACAAATTGTGATCATCCAGACTCAGAGATGCGGCAGATATTTTCTCAAAAATGAATGATGCAAACCTGGTGTATTCATGAAAACAGCTGACAGCTTTTGCCAGTACATTTTCAACCAAGAAAAAAAAAGAGAGACTTTGAAAAACTGGGATCTCTCCAGTGAGATTGGTAGTGATATTAAGAAATGTGATTTTTGTTGATAATTGTGTAATGCAGTGTGTCAACATTTGGAAAATCTGCAAACTTGGTTAACTAGTACTTTCTTAGTGACCAGTGCATGATGTTAAAACCATGCATGTGAGTAAAAGAGTCATTCAAATTGCAAGAGGGACAATTGGATTTTTAAATTAGTTATATATTTTTATTGAGATAAAATTCACCATTTTAACCATTTAAATGTGTACAATTCAAGAACATTTAGTACAGTCACAATGTTGTTCAACCATTACCCTAACTAGTTCCAGAACATTTTCATCTCCCCAAAAGGAAACCCTTGTACCAGTTAGCAGTTACTCCCCAGCTCTGGCAACAGTCTGCTTCCTGTGTCTGTAGCTGTGCCTTGGAACCACCCACTGTGCCATCATCTCTGTCTGGCTTCTCTCACTGAGAGATGTTTTCAAGGTCCACCCACGGTATAGCGAATATCAGTGCTTCACTCCTTTTCACGACTGAGTAATATTCCAGTGTGTGAATGGACCACACCGTGCTTATCCTTTCATCTGTGATTCATATTTGGATTTTTCTGCCTTTTTGGGGGCGGCATTATGAACAATGCTGCTATGAACATTCGTGTACAAGTTTTTGTTTGAACACCTCTTTTAAGTTCTTTTGAATATATACCTAAGAGTGGAATTACTGGGTCATGTGGTTTAACTGGATTTATGTTTAACTTTTTGAGGAACCGCCATAGTGCTTTTCACAGCAGTTGCATCATTTGACAGTCCATCTACAATGTATAAGACTTCTGATTCCTACACATTTTTTCCAACACTTGTTATCTTTCTTTTTCTTTTTTTAAACAATATTAGTGGGTATGTGGTTTTAGTTTATATTTCTCTAATGATTAATGATGTTGAGCATCTTTTCATGTGCTAACTGGAGACATCTATTCAAAACCTTTGCCATTTTTAGTTGGGTTGTTTGTCATTTTGGTGCTGAGTTGTGAGAGTTCTTTATATATTCTAAATACAAGATCCTTATCAGATATATGACTTACTAATATGTTCTCCCATTCTGTGGGTTACCTTTTCACTCTCTTAATAGTATTCTTTGATGCACAAAAGTTTTTAATCTTGACGAAGTCCAATGAATTTTTAAAAAATTTTTTAAATCTTTTGTTGTTTGTGCTTTTGATGTTATTTCTAAGAATCCATTGCCAAATCCAAGGTCAAGAAGATAACCTTGTTTTATATGATTACCTGATGTTTTCCTCTAGGAATTTCGTAGTTTTAGCTCTTTCATTTAGTTCTTTGATCCATTTTGAGTTGACTTTGTATGTCATGTAAATAAGGTTCCAGCTTCATTCTTTTGCAAGTGGCTGGGCAGTTATCCCACCATCGTTTGTTGAAAAGTTTATTCTTTCTCCACTGAATGGTCTTGATACCCTTATCAAAAGTCAATTGACCACAGCCCTGCCTGGTGTGGCTCAGTGGGTTGGACATCATTCAACAAACCAAAAGGCCACTGGTTCAGTCCTGGTCAGAGCACACGCCTGGGTTGCAGGCCAGGTCCCTGGATGGGGTCATGCAAGAGGGAACTGATCAATATTTCTCTCCCTCTCTTTCTCCCTCCCTCCCCCCTCTCTAAAAAATAAATAAAATCTTTTTAAAAAATCAATTGGCCAATGATGTTTGGGATTGTTTCTAGATTCTCAATTCTGTCCCATTGATCTGCATGTATTTTCTTATCCCAGTACTACACTGTGTAGGTTACTAGAACTTCATTGTTTTAAAATCGGGAATTTTAAGTTTTCCAACTTTGTTTTTCTTTTTCAAGATTACATTGACTATTTGGGGTCCCTTACAATGACATATAAACTTTAGGATCAATTTACCTATTTCTGAAAAGCAGTTGGAAGTTTAATAGAGAATTTTGGCATTGATTCTCTAGATCAGTTTGGAGTATTGCCATGTTAACAATATTAAGTGTTTCAATCCATGAACATAGGATATCTTTCTGTGGGTTTTTTTTTTTTTTTGAGGGGGGGAGGTCATCTTTAGTATCTTTCAACAATGTTATATAGTTTTCATTGTACAAGTATTTCACCTCTGTTTAAATTTATTCTTAAGTATTTATTCTCTTTGATGCTATTGTAAATGGATTGTTTTCTGAATTTCCTTTTCACATTGTTCATTGCTTTTATATATTGATCTTGTATCCTACAACTTTTGTGAATTCACTTGTGAGTGCTAGTTGTTTTTGGCGGATCCTTTAAGATTTTATATATTTAAGATTGCGACTTCTGCAAATGGAGATAGTTTCATTTCTTCCTTTCTTATTTGGGTGCCTTTTATTTGTCATTGTTGTCTAATTGCCCTGGCCAGAACTTCCAGCCCAGCGTTGAATAGAAACGGTGAGAGTGGACATGAACAACAGTGGTCAAAAGGCGATGGGTGAAGCAGCAACCCTCTCGTTCCTAAAACCAGTTCAGCTGCACTTTCTGGAATGCATGTTCAACCTTTTTGTAGAAATGCCATTGAAATCTTTGCTTTTCCTGGTATTTGAGGACAGACAGCGTATACTTGAGGTTCATTTCCTTGTCTTGCAGTTCTCTGTGTATGTGGTGGGCAGCAGCAGAGTTGGAATTTTCATTTCCATATACAAGTCAAGGTCAAATTCAGCATGTACAAATGCAGTAGCCACACACAGTGGGTGTTTCATCCTTTGCTCAGACCTGTGGCACCACCTCAGCTCCTCGCCTCCAAGAGGCCCTTAGAACCCAACCGAGAGGCCCCTTCCCCCAGGAAGGCCTCCCTGATAGCTCCACATAACTTTCCCCTGTGACTCTATCCTCGTTGCAGTATAACCCTCTTTGCATGGCTCACGCTTCATAAACATTCAGGGGCTTCTCTTGGTGATGGGTCCAGTGACCCCAGGGTCCTATACCTCTGGTGGCAGGACCTGGGTCTTTGGCCTTGTTGGTATTTTCCCAAAGCATCCAGGACAGGGAACCTGGGTTTGTGACAGGAAAGGCTGACCAGGAAGTCAGTGCCACCAACTGTCCTTGGGCTCAGTTGGTCACCTGGTTCTCTCTAGCAACAGATGACATGTGTGGGGAGCAGCGGGCAATATTCTGCTGGCTCTGCTTCCACTTGAACTTACGCAACAACTAAGTGTTCACGTTGTGCATGTGCACACGCAGATGTTGTGTTCCACTTCATAGCCAGTGTCCGCGTCATGACTTCACCCACTGCTTGTGCCCCTGGGCTCCCGGGCTCATCTGCATGTAACAAAGTAACACTCCCGGCTGCAGCTTCCACTCACCACTTAACTCATCTCTCCTGCCTGCCTCAAGCCTTGTTTTTATTTCGTAGAAGCTTGAATCATTATTTGGATATTAATAAAAACAAATCTTGGCTGATGCTAACCATCTGATTTCCCTTTTTTTCCCATTTTGTTTTGTTTTGTTTCTGCACACATTTTCTTTAGCTTGAAATGGCGATTGAAAACCTCCAAAAAAGCGAAGGGATCACATCACACAAAAGCGGTTTACTCCACAGCCATGTAAGTGTATGCCGCCTGGTGGTCTGCCCCGCTGTGCGCGTACCTGCGCGGGCATTTCCAAAACAAGTGAAGGCAGCAAAATGACACCTTTATAGGGCTGAACGGGGGAAAAAGCCAGCCTAGAGTTTTGCGGGCGTCAAAGATATCCTTCCGCAGTTAGCGGGAGGTGGAGGCAGCTTCTACATTCCTAAAGGTGGATGGTCAGAGTACCTGCCTCTTCGGGGGAGTGTTACGGGGATTAGATCACTTAATACACGTGATACCCTTCTAGCAATGCCTGGCAGATCACAAGCTTTATAACTAAAGTTAATACTAAAATAAGCAACAATAACAAAGGGTGACACAGGATTGCAGATGCCATGGAGTTTCTTAGCTAAGTTTCCTGTGATCAGCTCTTCCAAAAAAAAAAAAAAAAAGGTAATTTGAGAAAAATGCAAAGCAGCTCATTCCTACTCACTGGTGCTTTGTCAGATCTTCTTCCTTTTGGGGAAAAGGGTGACTGTGGGTCCCCTGCCAGGAGGTGGCAAACATCTTTGTCCCTGGGAAGCTTCATGGGGCAAGACGGCACTGGAGGAGGTGACCAGCTAAGAGCCCCTATTTCCCGGGACAGTTATGAGGGAAGCTCTGGTCTTCCCGCGCTCCCCCTTTTTCCTTTGCTCTCCCAAAGGTGCTCGATCCAGCTGCGCACGCAGCTGGGACCAGGGAAGCTGGGCAGGCCGCTGCACCGGTCAGGACGTGCTTCTCAAGCACCAGGTTGGGGTCTGACTCCCAATCTCTTTAATTCTCTCAAGAATTAAAACATCAAGGAAAAAGATAACCACGATCCTAACTATCACCCCACCAAGACTTTCATACCAGCGATGTTCAAAGTGAAGTGCTGCTCAGAAGGCAGGGGTTCTGGGGCAGAGCCCAGCCAGAAAGGCCCCAAAACGTCTGGGTGTATGGGTTCACGCAGGCGGGGCCGGCTGCTCTGCGCACGCGTGATGAGGGTCTGCACTCCTCAGCCTCAGAGGCTGGTCACTAGAGGGGTAGCAGCCTCACACCAGTGTCTCAAAGGAAAAACGCAAAAGGCCATCAGGCCTCTCCCGAGTGCCCTGCCTCCTCCCGCCCCCCGCCCCGCGGCTTGGTGGGTCGAGACCACCTTGTTGCCCATCACTGCTGGACAATGTAATCCCGTGGGCGTAACTGGGGAGGGACAATATTCAGTGAGTGTTGGGTGGGAAGGACAGCTCCCACCCACCACCAACCCCTGTCTTAAAAAACTCAGAGTGCACCACGTAGAAAAGTCTGCAGAATGACAGTCTGCTCAACAAGGACAACTTCCCTTCATTGGCGACAGGTACTTCCTCAGCTGTCGTCAAGCAGGCACACGTGGCCTCGTCATAGCCTGCGAGCTCCGTGCTAGGCCAGGCAGGACGTGGGCACCAACCCCAGGGGGGAAGCACACGAGCTGCTGCTCTGGCTGCAGGGCTGCTCCTGGCTTTCTGACGCTTCTTTTTTGGGAGGCAGCCTTCCTGGGGGCTTCCAGCTGGCTTACATTCCCGAGCTGACTTCTCCAGCAGGAAAATCTCCCCGTGTCTGTTTCCCCGGGTGATCTGTGGTTGAGCCTCCTTCCGTGGGGAGCTATGAGGAGCAAGAGCTGGGGCTTGGAGTCAAAGGGAATAGACAAATGGAAGATCTCTCGAAAGAGTCGAGCATGCACACCGCGGGGGATCCCCCTGGAGCTGTCCTTGCAGATGTGAGAGCGGGAGGGAGGGACGAGGAGAAGAGCGTGACCCGCCTCACAAAGGGGCAGCATGACCTGCTGATTCCTGTCTTGGTCTCAGCTGGCTGAGCCTGCCCTCTGGCCAGCTCTCCACGCTTACTTGTGACACTTGTAGTTGTCACCACAGCTGTCTATAGCTGAGATTGCGTTAGTTTTGGGATCCTTGGCCTGCACAACCCCAGAGCCAATGAGCCTGGCTGGGGGCGTGCCCGGCACAGTGTTCCCCATCCATCGGGCTGTGGGAGCCAAAGGAACAGGAACTTACTGCAGGGAGCTTGGGCTGCAAGGGCAGGGGCTGGCAGGTGTGAGGAAGCCGGCCCAGGCACTCCTAGGTCCGCCCAGGGAGCCGGCGCAGAGGCCGAGCCCGGAACCGCCTCTGCCTTCTGGGGGGCGCGTTTCCTTCCCAGGGCGTGCACGGTCCTGGGTAGGGGCGGGTGACGATGCCCAGAGCCCGGAAAGGCTGGACAGTGCCTTCTGGGCCCAGCCGGCGTCAGGGCCCCTCCAGAGCTGCCCATGCTGCCCGCGGGGGCTCAGCCCCAGGGTCTGCAGGTTGGCGACACCCTTCAGCCTCAAGTGAGCAGTCTGTGAGTTGGGGGGACTGTGATTTGGTGGCATGAAAACAGGGGATACCTGTTTCAGAGGAAGGAGGAGACAAAGCTGGTGCTGGGGATGAAAACACCTTCACCCGTTAGGATGGCACTGAGGCCTCCCTATGCTCCTGCCTGGCCTTGGGGAGCCTCAGTCAAGGTCCCCACGCTGCCCAGCTCCTCCCAGGGCCGCTGCCCTTCTATCCCCCAGATCCTGGCTCAAGAAGCACCCTTACCCTGATGCTCGCTGACTCAGGGACCTCACAGCATGTTCACCAAGTCACTGTCACAAGGAGGTGGCCACTGTCTACTAAAAGGAACTCTTATTTCCAAACCCTGCTTTTAGAATAATTGTATTCAGATTATATGACTTTTTAATCAAGAAACACAAATTGTCAAAGATCCTTTAGCCTTCGGTTGGTGGCCGACTGCGGGCGGGCACAGTGACCAAGCTGTCACCTGCAGACTGAGCTGGGGCTTGGCTAGAGCGGCAGCTTCATGGGATGGGTCCCTTGTCGAGAAGTTGCTGCAAATGCCTAGCAGTGGTCTTGGTGGGAGGCCGTTTCTTCAGTATTCCTAACCCACCCTCACCGCCTTGCCAACCCCACCCAAGCCGCTGACAAAACAGGTTTTCCTCCAGGCATCCGCCTGGAACGCCTGCCCCAACTCCACACTGGCTTCGCTGTCGCTCCTTCGGCCAGGCAAGGTCTGCCTCAGGGCCTTTGAAAGGGCGGCGTCCTTTGCCTGGAACACTACCCTGGTGGCTCCCTCCCTCAGCCTCCTGTCTTTGCTCGTAGGCCACTCAGATCAGTTTTCTTCCCTGAGAGCTTGTCAATGCAAAAAAGAGAGGAAGTGTAACGAATTATTCCTTTGGAGGCTGCTAGTGGAGTCACTTCTCCTTGAAGGAAGATAACCATGCATCCTTAATTTCATGATGACCTTAATGTAACCTCAACAGGATCACCCAAACAGAGATGTCCACTTGTAATTTAAATAACACGGGGTTGGGGGGAAGGCATCATATTTCGCAGGCCTTTCTCTTGGCCTATGAGCCCAGTCATATTGAGCCTCTGAGCCTCGGGCCAGGTGTCGGCCTTCATCACTCAGGTCCCCTGGGACAGGCCGCCTGCCACACCCCCCACAAGGCCTGCCTCAGCCTCCAGCTGGGGCCAGGGTCTCTACATGGCCCCTCCCCACCAGCCCACGCCTCGCTCCGAGGTGCTGGGCGCCAGGTCCCAGCCTCCCTCACTCACGTGGGGTTCCTGAAAAAGTGACATCCAGGCCCCTCTGCTCCGGCGCAGGGAGAAGAAAGCCCCCAGTCTCTGCACCTGCACGCTGGGGCCCTCCTCGCTCTTTGGGACCTCGTCTTCTCTGGTCGGTGTTTCCTGAGGCACCTGTAAGACCCTGGAGGTGCAAACACGGGCAGAGAGGTCAGGGGCAAGGGAGGGCCGAGAAGATGGCTGCTGAGGCTCTCAGCCCCCAGGGCCGCGCGAAGCCCTGGAGAGAAGGCAGGCGCAGGGCCACCCCTGTCAGAAAAAAGCGTATTTGAAAGATGTTTGAAAATGAAAGGTCCGAATGACTTGGTGGAAAGTAAAACATACGTTCTTTTCCCAAAGGGACACCTGAAGATGACTCTCATTTCTGGGCCCTGTCTTATTTCCCATGACCTTGAGCTCACCTCATGCATCCGATGCTCTGCCAAGAGCCCTCTGCTCTTGACAGCTGCCACCCTTCTGCACTGTCGCTTTGCACCCTCCTTCCTGTCTGTCCCTGTTGTCATTGTCTCTCATTCACCCTGTTGATGAGAGCGGGTCCCACCCTTGGGTTACAGGAAAGGCCAAACACACGACACCCAACAGCAGACAGAGGACAGCCATTTATCAGTCACATAGACTCATGGCCCAGAGGAAGAGGACACCTCAGGGCCACACACAGGTGCACTCAGGAGCGGGGAACAGTAGACCGTGGGAGGCTTTGGTGACCTGAGGGCCGGGGGGCCCCTGGTTTAAGCCTGATCCTCAGGGATAAGCCGGAGCTGTACCCAGTGCCCTCAGCGAGGAGGGTTGCGTGGCTGAGACCTCACTGCAGTGGCAGGGGGAGGGGCCCTCTCCTGGCTTTCCACGGGGTCCGGCCTGACCCTCTCTTCCCCCTCAGCCCTTCTGTGTACCCCTTACCCCTGGAGGCCCTGTGGTGTCTCCTTGGTGCCAGATTTACTTAACTGGCCTGAACTTGGGTCCCAAACGCCAGCCCAGCATTTGAACCCCCCTCCCCAGAACAAAGCCAGCTGCCTAGCCCTTCTTGATGCCTGACGCCTGTCTTTCTGTTAAAAGGCCCTCTGCTCTGCCAGTGTCCCGGGTGCCCCTTCCCCTGGACCTTTGACCTGTCCCCCACCTTTATCCTGCACCTCTACCGTCCCCACGTCCCACCTCTGAAACCCCCCTCATTTGGGCATCCAGACCCCCAGCTGGCTCCACGTGAGAGCGGAGAACCCCAGGGATGGATGAGATGCAGGGGTTCAGTTTAAAATGGTCCGGGGGGGGCTTAGACAAATTAAAATGGGCACTGGGCTGACGTTTTGAGGCAGGAGTTCCTTAGACTATTCTTGCTACCTCTGTACGTGTTAGAAACTTTACATAAAACCATTTTAAAAGGGCAATGAGGGTGGGCTTCCCAGTGCCGATGCTAAGTCTGTGTGTGGCCAATGGGGTGTGGGTTGCAGTGGGGTATAGGCCGTGGGTGGGGGAGTGGGGGTGCTGATTTCCCAGGGGAGATGCTCACTCCGGGTCTGGAAGGGAGCAGATGCACAGGAATTTGCAGGAGCCCAGCATGCCAGGACCACAGAGGGGTCTGGGCTAGTGGCAGGGGCTTGTCTGGACAGGGGTGGCAGCTTAGACAGACCACTGCCTCCCACAGTGGCGCTGGATCCTTCAAGGGGTCCCGCTTTGGGCTTACTCCTGTGCACGTGGCTCCTGCCTGTCTGCCCCGAAAGCCCGGCGCATGGTTAAGACCTTTTGTACTCTCACAGCAGAGTGGAAGCCGGAATCAAGCTGCAGCTCTTGGGGCGCTGTGCCTGGGGCTCCCAGGCACACATGTCACCGTTTGTGGGGCCTTAGCTTTCTCCGAGCACGGCTCCTGCCTTTCCAACTCTGCCGACCCCTGGGGGCAGCAGCTTTGGCTTCGGTGTAAGCACAAAACCTGGCACATGTGCCTCTTAGGTATTTCACTTGGCTTCCACGTGGGCTCCGCCTGGCCAGGGCCTGCAGGAGAGAGTAGTCGGCCTCCATCCATGACCATGGCCAGCGTAGGGTGTGGTGCGCACAGGCCCTGAGTTTTCTTGGATCGGCCTCTTTCCTATCATCAGAATTGATCTCCGTTCCCAAAGGTCTAGGGGACATTTGGTGTTTAAGCAGGTATGGGGCATGTGCATGTTTAAATGATTATAAGGACAAATTCTGCCAAGTCTCCATCCATACAAATTTTTCTCAATGAAGTCAAGGAGCCTGAAGACCAGGCTGAAAACCAAAGGGATAAAAAAGCAGGTCAAAAAAGCTGCTAAGTAACATGTCCAGAATCTCCTGAACCCAAATCTGTGACAGTAACAATGAATTTCCTCATTATGTTAAGCAGAGGGAAAGCATGTTATTCTCTTAATGAGTCCACCTTAGCATTTTGGCATTTGAGGGAATTCTAACAATCAGAAACGTGTCTTTGTTTCTCCAGCTCCAGTGGCTGCTAGATAATTACGAAACCGCTGAAGGCGTCAGTCTCCCCCGAAGTTCTCTTTATAACCATTACCTTCGGCACTGCCAGGAGCACAAGCTGGACCCAGTGAACGCTGCCTCCTTTGGGAAACTGATTCGTTCCGTGTTCATGGGCCTGCGGACACGGCGGCTGGGCACCAGGTGGGTAGAGGGGAATGTCCAACATCCCCCATGCCCATCTATCCTTCCTCTTTCTTTGTACAGAAATCGAGCTTTTGAAGAACATGGGGCTTCCTCCTTCTGCCCACGCATCCTGACTGACATCGCTCCGGGCGAACTTGGAGCTGCCCCGAGCTGGTGGCAGCGCTGGCCCGGCCAGGGCCGGGGAGTGGGCTGGGTTTCCACTACCTCCGGATGACGAGACATGAGGGTTCGCTTCGGCTCTCCCCCTTTGCTTGAACTTTTTCATAGTGACAGGTTTTTAAAAGGCTGCCCCTGGATTATCTAACAGAGCTGGATATACCACTTCTTGATGCTTTTTGATGTACCTGGGCCAACCTGCCATGGCCTGCCCTTGGCCCCTTGGCCAACAGCAGCCAGGGAAACTTGTGTGTCATAAACTTAAGCAACCAACAACATGAACACCCTTCTCACTAAAAAAAAAAAAAGAGAGAGAGAGAGCCACTTAGCAGGCCCAGTGCCTGCTCTCAGTGAAGTCGCGCAGACACGGCTGGCCGGTTGATTCTCAGAAGCCAGCCTCCTGGCCAAGAGAACAGGAGGGTCTTCTCTCGTCCTCTGCCACCTTTGATCCTGGACAGAGGATGTCTTTATAGAACACAGACACAGAACTGGTTTTCTGAGTCCAGGACTTTGCAGAGCCTTTATCCCACAAAAGTGCAAGAGGGGAACCTCCCCGAGGGGGAGACCGTGTGCAGAGCGAGCGTTTCCCGCATGGTCCAGGCAGCACTGAGTCCGAAGGCTCAAAGTGCAGCTGCCAAGACACAGCGCCTGCTGTCTTTCGGGGCAGCTACGGGGAGAACTGACCCGCATGTTTGGTTCCTAGGGGCAACTCTAAGTATCATTACTATGGGATCCGTCTGAAGCCGGACTCGCCCCTGAACCGACTGCAGGAGGACACCCAGTACATGGCCATGCGGCAGCAGCCTGTGCACCAGAAACCGAGGTGGGTGACCTGGGCCAAGGCCGGCCTGAGGAAGGGGACAGGGCCTGGGTTTGTCTAGGGAAAACACAGAGTGAGTGTTTCTTAAATAGTAAATACTGCGCATTCGTACAAGGGGACTCCCATCCTACGGTGGAGAAAAGAAGCTGGTAATAACCTCAGTCTCCAGCGTCCTGGGAGAACCCAGACGTTCACCTCCAGTGACATGCAGGGAGGCCAGCAGGAGTCGGGCTGAGCATGCAACCTCGCTAGCTAACGGAAATTCCAGAGCATTCTCTTTAAAGAAAAGAAAGAAAGGGAAAAAAGGCTTTTTAGAGCAGTTTTAGGTCACAGCAAAATTGGCTGAACAGTACAGAGACTTCCTATCTGCCCCTGCCCCACACAGGCACAGCCCCCCACTCTCCACGTCCCCCACCAGGGTGGTGCCTTGTTCCAGCCGATGGCCCTGCATTGACACACCGCGATCACCCCGAGTCCATGCTTTACATTAGGGTTCATCCTAGTGGTGCACATCCTGTGGGTTTGGACTAGTGTGTGAAGCTGTGTATCCGCCTCCATTGTAGCGTCACACAGAGTCGTTTGACCGCCCTGAGATTCCTCTGTGCCCTGCCGACGCATCCCTCCCGCCCCCCAGCCCCTGACGACCTCTGATCTTTTTACTATCTTCATAGCTTTTCCTTTTCCAGAATGTCAAAAGTTGGAATCACAGATATTTAATTTTTTTCAACTACCAGGAAAAAAAAAGAGAAAGAGAACACTGAAAATAACCCAGGAATCCAGGAGAAAGAAACCTGTAGACTTAAGTTGCTGCTTTCTTCCTGACATTTTGATCTGATGTCTGGAAAGGCCTGGCCATTTTCTGGAAGGTCCTCTTTACCCATCACAAACCTACCCATCATTTAAGGCAGAGGTCAGCCAACATTTCTGTAAAGGGCCACAGAACAAATTGAGCTTTGCAATCTGCTCAATCTGCTGTTGTGAGTGAGAGCAGCCACAGATGGTTCATAAATGAGTGGGCGGGGCTGTGTGCCAATAAAACTTTATTTATGGACACTGACATGTGAATTTATGAAACAAGTGGCAGAGGTGGCCCTTAACAACTAAAGTTTGCCTGGGTTCAGGTTCCCACTGGAGTATCACCTCCCTGGCAGCCTTCCGGTCTCCCAGGCTCCCTCTCCAGAGTCCAGACTGCCCCAGGGTGGGTGCTGTGCCCCTTTACCCCACATGCCAGCCTGTGTGGCTCTAAGTCCCATTTCAGCTGCTCTAAGTGTCCCAGTGACTCCCAATCACACAGTCAGTCACAGGAGTTAGAGGCCACAGAAAAGAGGCTCCAGGAGCCAACACACCAGAACAGAACCAACAGTCCATCCCGACCCTGGTCGTACATAGACATGGATTCAAAAGCTTCCTGTTGATTGGTCTCGGCCCCTGCGAACGCCAGGCAGTGTGTTATTTTAGGAGCGGTTACTCATGCTTCATGGTGACACTTGGAACCACCCTGGGTAACGTGGTCCAAGAACGTCTGAGTGGCATTTCTTCCTCTTCACAGTGAGCCGGCCCCACTTTCCACAAGGGCACCCCCAGCTCAGGCCGGGACCCCCTCGCCCCTCTTCTGCCACACACACCTCAAAGCGCCCCTCTGGGCTTGGAGGGACAAGTTGCCTGGGAAGCCCGCCTCTGTTAATGTTCCTCAGTTTGCTGCCCACGCAGGCTGCCTGACCACTGCTTTCTGGCTCCGGGCAACAGGGAAGTCAGAATTTCCTTCGAGACAATACGATAGTAAGATATTTGAAATTCTATATGTACAGTTCACTTGTCTTCTCAGAGAGAGGTATCAGAATACTGTGTATATATATAGACAGACTCATATAAGCAACCCAAGTATCAACAGCGAATAAATGGATAAACAAATTGTAATACACATTTTGGAATAGGATTCAGCCATAAAGAGGAAGGACATTCTGACACATGTGACAATGGGGATGAGCCTGGAGGACATGATGCTCAGTGAGAGAAGCCAGACACAAAAGGACAAACACTGTATGACTCCGCTTAGAGGAGGTCCCTAAAGGAGTCAGATCTGCAGAGACAGAGAGTAGATGATGGGAGCCAGGGGCTGGGGGAGGGGATGAGGAGTTAGCGTTTAACGGGGACAGAGTTTCAGTTTGGGAAGATAGAAAGTTCTGGAGGTGATAGTTGTATAACACTGTGAATGTACTTCATTGAACTATACACTTAAAAATGATAAAGATCATACCTTTTGTTTATGCGTATTTGACCACAATTATTTTAAAGTTATGCACACACACCAAACTGCATCCTGTTCAGCCCTTTGCTCCTTGGGCCCCTTCTAGGCAGTGCTGCTGGGGCCTCACGATGGCACATGTGTCCCCTACCCAGGTACCGGCCAGCCCAGAAGTCAGACAGCCTTGGGGACAGTGGCTCGCACAACAGCCTGCACAGCACGCCGGAGCAGGCCATGGCCGCGCAGAGCCAGCACCACCAGCAGTACATAGGTGAGCGGCGGCGCCCCCGCCCGGGCGCCGCGCCTGCTGAGAAAGCTCCGGTCTCCTCTGCGCTTCTCGGTGTTTGTGGGTTTCGGCACCGGCAGCAGCTAAAGGGGTGCACTAAGCAGTCTTCTTGTATGACACTTTTTCAATTACAGAGAAAATTCTAGATAAACCTCTTCTGTGGCATCCCTGAGGTTTCAGAACAATAAGCATATACCCCCAAAATTAATGTACAAAGTGACCATCAAAAAATATGTAAATAAAATGAAATGCCCACCAGAGAGGAGACTAGCTGCCCTGTTTTAAAACCTGTCGGCTCAGGGCAGCCGCAGGATCCGCCTGTCCTGGGTGCTCTTCCCCAGGATGTCCAGGGTGCACCAGTGCCCTCACACAGGGCTGCCTGGCCCTCTTCCCCGGGAGCCGTGGGAGAGACAGTCCCCTCACCACCCAGGTGGCCCCATCACTTTCTTGGGATTGCATCCTGACCCAGAGCCTGCTGTTGGACACGCCTGGGGAGGGTCGCTGGGATCAGTGTCAAATGCATACGCCCACTGAGACAGCAGAGGCCTGGGTCTACTTTTAGTGTGTTCTTTGAGCCTGAGCAGAGCCCTCCTGTGTTGGGTCTTCTGTTTGGGAGAGTTTGTCAGGCCTGGGAGGTCACCACGGGGCCAGCCTTTGTCCTCAGATGCCCTGCTCTGGCTGGCCCCATGCTGGGGTGAAGCGAGTCTCGCTGTGTCCTGGGCCCTGGCTCAATGCTTATCTGGGTAGGCATATTTTGTGTCCCTGAGAGGTGACGATGCTGTCCCCATTCTGGACCTGAGAAAACCAAAGCTTACAAAACCTGCATGACTGCTCAAGGGAGCCAGGATGCTGCCCAAGGTTGTCCGGTAGTCACCAGCATGCCCGGACAGCGTCCCCAGCACGCGGGCCTCCCAGCCCGGCTCCTGCATGTGGACCTTCTGCAGGTCTGCTGATGACCTTGTTTCCATCCCCCCAGATGTGTCCCACGTCTTCCCGGAGTTCCCAGCGCCTGACCTGGGCAGCCTCTTGCTGCAGGACAGCATCACGCTGCAGGACGTCAAGGCCCTGCAGCTGGCCTACCGGCAGCACTGCGAGGTGACCGCCCCGCCAGGTGGCCCTGGGAAGAGCCCACAACTGGCCTGTGGGGATTCAGTGGGAGCCTCGGTGCCCCCGGGGCCCAGTGCAGAGTCCAGCAGGCCTCCTCAGGGCCACCAAACACCCAGGCATCCCCAGGTGTCCCTGACAACACGGAAGACCCAGGAGCAGCCCGCTGCTCCCTCCAGCCAAGGAACAGATAGATTCTCTGCCCCCAAGATGGTGCCCCTCTCTCTCCTCTGTGGTCTCTCTCTGGATTTCAAAAGACCCCCCTCCTCCCCCACAGCCTGCGTCAGGGCTACTTACTCGGAAAGTCCTGATGACATGTGACCCACACCCTTTTGAATGTGCGCATTTGTGCATCTAACCAGTCGTTTTTCTTCCAGGCAACTTTAGATGTCGTGATGAACCTCCAGTTCCACTACATTGAGAAGCTGTGGCATTCCTTCTGGAATTCTAAAGCCTCCTCCGGCGACGGCCCTGCCTCCCTACCAGCCAGGTATCTGTCCTCGTCCCCCGAGGCAGTCCCTATGACACCCACACTGTGACCCACAGACAAATGCGTCAGCTTCCCAAGAATTGGCACTCCCCCACAACTACGTGTTGTTTTTGTACTTCTGACAGTTGATTTGTAACTCGCGTTGCCCATTCACTTGTTTCAAGTGAGTGAATTTATTGGTGACCATGTGCCATCCCAAAGAGAAGCCACCTCAGCTGTAGCCACAGTGGGATGCATTGCCTCGGCCGCAGGCGGGGTGGGGGGAGAGACAGCAAGACCCCCATGGGGAGTGCGAGCCAGGGTGGGCACAGGCCTTGCGTGGTGTATAGGCTACAGCTCACCTTGTCTCCCCCATTCCCCCACAGTGACGAGGACCCCAAAGCCATCATCCTCCCGAAGGACAAGCTGGTGTCTCTGTGTAAATGCGACCCCATCCTTAAGTGGATGAGGAGCTGTGACCACATCCTCTACCAGGCCCTGGTGGAGGTCCTCATCCCCGACGTGCTGCGGCCTGTGCCCAGTAAGCAGCTTGCCTCACCTGCTCCTCTCCCTCCTGTCCCTGCAGCCCTGCAGCCACCTTGTTGGGTCCAGCTCAGACTTGGGGCTCCGAGGATCCAGGGAGAGCAGCGGCTCAGTCACTCCAGGAAGATGCTCGCCTCGCCTGCCTGCTTTCCTTGTTACTGACCCAGGGAGAAGAGAAGGGAGGGCCCATGTGGCTCTGGCGAGGGCTGTCCACTCGGGCCTGGGCTGGGCCTAGGGCTCCGTGCTGCTGCCCAGTGCTGTGCGGTTCTGGGGTCCGATGGCCCCAGAGGAGATTCCAGAGGGTGGGGCCAAAGTCACAGGACATCCTACCCCTCTAGGCTGCTGCATTTGCTAAGAGCCCCGGGGGATGGTCTAAATCTGGTTTTAACTCACTTCACCCAGGCTGATCTGAGGTTGAGCTCAACTTCCTCCCAAGAGGTGGACTCCATAGTTATTTTCTCCAGATCCCAGTATCCTTAACTGGGGAAAAGAGAAAACAATGGAATCGTGAGCCTTGATGGCTACACCACTTGGGGCTGACATGTGCTGGGGGACCTTCCCAGGCCCATGAGGACCTGGCTGCTGGGCCATTGGTGGTGGTGACAAAGCCCACCACCAGGGGGCACCCGTCATGCCAGCCCTGACTTCCAGGCTCTCCTGTGGGCTCCTAGCGTCCTGCAGGTGGAAGCACTGTCCCAAGGGAAGGGCGAGCAAGCTGGGCCCTGAGGCCTCTCTCTAATCAATGACTCCAGCGGGCACTGCCAGTCACACTTGGCAGGTGGCTTAGGCACATTTTGTGTCAGCGCTCAGAAAACCCCAGTCTTTCTAAATGAAGTGGTCTGCTGCTTTTGTGCCAGAAAACAGGAAGCAGCAAAACTATTGCATTTATCCTGTGGACTTGCCTGCCCGGCAACTGTTAAGCACAGCTGTTAAGTGCAACTGAGCCTCTATATTAAGGCTTGAGTTTGGGGTAGCTTTACTTTTACATTTGGGGGATGCTTTTCCTTTTCTAAAAAAGAGTCTTATTATTTGTTTCCTATTGTAAGCCATCTCAAAATAAATTTAGAAGTCGGTAGAATATATGTACATGCGTGTGCATCAGGGTCTGTCAGTCTCAGCGCTGTTGGCACGGGCCGGGTCACTCTCTGTGCGGCCAGCCGTCCTGGGCACTGCGGGGTGTTGCAGGGAGCAGCACCCCTGCCCCCAACACTGCATCCCAGGAGCACCCCCCGCTGTGAGAACCAAAGATGTCCCCAGACACTGCCCAGCGTCCCTACGGGGCAGGGTCACCCGGGGTGAGGACCCCTAGTGTGGGGGGATGAGTGGACAGAGATGAACGGCCTGGACGGGCCCTGACTCTGACTCTGGGCTCCCCGCACTAAGTGCCCCAGTTGGACCTCATGCCCGTGCTGCTCTGTGGCTCTCTTCTCCTCTGTGTTGCTTGTTGGGTGGTAACTTTCATTGTGTTTGCATCTCTCACACTCATGGCTGATCCTGACAGGTGAGACCGCCTTTCTCACTATTAATATTGTGGTCCTATTTCCCAGGCACCTTGACACAGGCCATTCGTAATTTTGCCAAGAGCCTGGAAGGCTGGTTGACGAACGCCATGCGCGACTTCCCACAACAGGTTATCCAGACTAAGGTAACTCCTCGGGTTGGGGTCTGGGCCTTCAGACCACACTGGTGGCCAGAAGCAGTGGCCACAGGCCCAGGGACCCCTTGGGCCCCGCTATGCTGTGAAGTGAGGGGGTCAGGAATGGCTCAGAGGAGAGGGCTCCTCTCCCTCTGCTCTAGGGGAACTTGACTGCTGGACCCCAGAGTGAGTCCTGAGGGTCAGTGGTCCCTTCAGGAAGCCCCGAGGATGCTATGAATGTAGCGCAGGTGCCATCAGGGAGGGGCACAATGGAAGATGCCATTTGATGTGACATATTTGAGTTAACTCACAGCAGATCAAGTGTTTCTCTGCTCATGAAAAGACAAGAATTTAATCTCCTTGCTTTATCCTTACTACTATAGTCTTGGCCACAAGTCAGAATTTAAATGTGGACAGTTGGCCCACATGCGCACTGTTCTTTGCAACCATTCTTGCACGAATTTCTAAAGGAGCTGCCATGTACAGAGGAGGCTAGATTCTGGGCATCTGGTCTACCCACCTACAGTCTGGAATTGCTCTGTTAGACCAATGATACTGCAACCTCAGGGAGAAAAAGAACTGCCTAGGTAGTTGATGAATTGCAGATTCCCAGGCCACCCCCACAGAGTCTGACCCAGCAGCACCCAGGAACCTGTAACCTCACCAGCCTCTCCAGAGAGCTGAAGGAATTGTGTTCTAACCTACCTATGCCGTGGCATCTGCTATAGATGCCACGTGATGCATTGGTGACAACAATGTCCTTCACTGATTCTCACTCTTTGGGTCCTTGAGCCTGTCCAAAGAGTGGGTCCCTCTTTCATGCCCCTGAACTGTCCCTGAGCCCATGCCCACCAAGGAGAAGAGAACAGGCTTTCCCTACATGTATACATACAGCTCTCTCTCTGCCACAGGTCGGCGTGGTCAGCGCCTTCGCCCAGACCCTGCGGAGGTACACGTCCCTCAATCACCTGGCACAGGCGGCCCGGGCCGTGCTTCAGAACACTTCCCAGATCAACCAGATGCTCAGCGACCTCAACCGCGTGGACTTCGCCAACGTGCAGGTGACTCTCCTACATGGCTCCCCATAACCTGGGACAGCGCTCTGGAACCAGACTGGAGAGCAGGGGCAACGTGCACGTGACCCCCACCCCTCTAGTCTAGTCTTCCACCATCTAGAAAAATGCACAAACCCACAAACTTCAGCGAATAGCAAACCCAGCACACATTTCTGTTGCACGAGCCAGATTCAGGGTTGGCCCACCCACGGACCCCAGGTCTCACTCCAGGGTCTCTCAGCCTCTAGGATTTGTGATTGTCACCTTTGTTCCTTTTCTTTAAAACTCTGCCTTCCTGCCCTGGCCAGGTGGCACAGTTGATTGGAGCACCATCCCGTACACCAAAGGGTTGTGGGTTTGATCCCCTGTCAGGGTGTATATGGGAGGTAATCAAGTGACGTTTCTCTCTCTCTTTCCCTTTCCTCGCCCTTCCTCTTTCTAAAAAAAATCAATAAACATATCCTCAGATGAGGATTTTTTTTAAAAAGTGCCTTCCTGTTGTCATGCTCATAGTTTTGTCTTTGGGCTTAGGAAAGGTCAGGCTGCCGGCAAATGGATCCTGCTTCTGCATTTACTTTTGGTTCAGGCCCTGGGTTTATCCACTACACACACACACACATTCATTTAAGAGTGACCACTCAAAAATAAAACAAAGACATGGTATAATCAGAGCTATGGATCCAGGAAGCCTGAATTCAGGTCCTTATGTGCTGGGCAGGTTCCCTGTCTGGTCCATCTCTCCCTGCCCCCATGAAGTGGGTACTAACGGTGCCTGACTGCAGCTGGAAGAGGCCAAGGGTGAGGGTGCGTGCATGCTTGCTGTATGATCAGAATACTGGAGCAGCTGGTGCTCAGGAGACGGCCGCAGTCAGGGTCTCTGTGCTGTCACCCGTGACGTGGGCGGGGGGGGGGCGTCACCGACCCTCTGTCCTGACCACCACCCTTCCACCTGCAGGAGCAGGCCTCATGGGTGTGCCAGTGCAAGGAGAGCGTGGTGCAGCAGCTGGAGCAGGACTTCAAGCTGACGCTGCAGCAGCAGAGCTCCCTGGACCAGTGGGCCAGCTGGCTCGACAATGTGGTTACCCAGGTCCTGAAGCAGCACGCAGGCAGCCCCAGCTTTCCCAAGGCCGCCCGGCAGTTCCTGCTGAAATGGTCCTTTTATAGGTAAGTGCCCCTTGGTCTCCCCGAGAACTCTGGGAGGGTGGGGTGGGCGGCCCAAGAGGTTGCCCAGTGGGCCTTGTCCTGGCGCGCTGGCTCCCAGGGCCAGGCCCAGAGGCCCCCTGTGGCCCAAAAACGGGTGGAAGGCTTCCACACTGGGCCTCATGGAGAAACTCAACAGCTTGGGCCCATTTCTGCTCCCGAATGAAACCCCACAAAAGTGGCACGACAGGAAGTGGTGAGAAGGCATAAACCCCCAGGACAAGGGGAGCAGGAGAGCAGAGGATGGCAGAGAGGAGGTGAGGGGGAGCAAGAGTCTGGGAGGTGGTATGAGGTGGTCAGCCAGTCAGCAAGCCACATGGGGATCAGCCGCCAAGCTTCTGACCCCTCACTGCCAAGCACAAACAGGAGGCAGAAGCAGCATCAGCGCCCCCCCGCCCCGGCCCCCGCCACCATGGTGCATGTGTCCGCACAGAACAGTGCTGGGCCAAGGTCAGGTGTGTCAGGGTGTATGTATTTTTAAATTACATATGTAGCCCTGGCTGGTGTGGCTCAGTGGATTGAGCCCTCACCTGTGGACCAAAAGGTCGCCAGTTCGATTCCCAGTCAGTGCACAGGCCTGGGTTGCGGGCCAGGTCCCCAGTTGGGGGCGTGTGAGAGGCAACCAGTCACTGTTTCTCTCCCACATCTTGTTTCTCTCCCTCTATTTCTCCCTCTTTCCCCTCTCTCTAAAAATAAATAAAATATTTTTAAAATAAATACATAAATGATATATGTAAATATATTATAGAAATATATATAAATATAGAAATATTAGTATATAAAGAGATTTATTTCAAAGAACTGGCTCAGGCAATGGTGGGGGCCAGAGAGTCTGAAATCTGTAGGGCAGGCCCTCAGGCTGGAGACTCTCAGGCGGGAGTGGCGCTGCTGGCCACAGGTGGGGTTTTTTCCTCAGGGGGCCCTCAGGTTTGCTCGGAAGGCCTTTCGGCTGATGGGATGAGGCCCATGTTATCTCGGGTAATCATCACTTCCTGTCAACTGATGATAGGGGTGAACCACAGCCACAAAATGCCTGAGCACCTGAGGCTCAGCTGAGCAACCAAGGCCACTGTCTGACTGAACACCTGGGCCCTAGAGCCTAGCCAAGCTGACACATAAACTATCACTGAGAGTGACCGTGAGAGGGAAAATACAGGGAAAAAGAAAAAAATGTGAGAAAAGTCCTGAAAGAAAAATGAAAGGATTGGATCCAGAAGATTCAATAGCCAATGGATAGGATTTTTTTTTTTTAAGTGAGAAAGAAAATGGAGGGAAAGGAAATAATAAACCACAATCAAGAAGCTGCCTCAGAACTGAAGGGCATCAGTCTCCATACTGAAGCAGCTGCCACATTCCCATGACAACGAATGACAGACTCCCCCAGGAGCATCAGGGCAGCAAGGTTAGGGCACAGCCTTAAGGCTTCCAAGAGAAAGCGACCGGACACACTGAAGGCCTTGGACCAGAACAGTGTCCTCGGACTGAACCAGAATGCAGAACCTAGTCGGCAAGAAAGCAGTGCCTTCAGAATTCTGGAGGAAAACAGTTTCCGAGCTGCGATTCTAACCCGTGCAGATGGAGGCAAGGGGACCGGGCCTTCACGAGGGACACTGCCTGAGGACGTGGCCCGTGCTTGCTCACAGCAGCCCAGCAGTTTTGCAGGGGTTCCTGTCCTCAGTTAGTGATAAATGCATGGAAAATTGAGTGTTTTTAAAGAAGGAGGCAGTTAACCCCAGGAAAACGATAGCCATTCTAAGGCTTTTAGGCCATGCATGGTCCAGCTGATCGGGGAGCTACAGCTGGCAGATCAGACCATCCTTCGCCTGATTGTGCACATAAAATGTCATTGGCACTCAGCCATGCTCGTTCCTGTATGGATCCTTAGCAGAACTGTGACTGTGTAGGGCCTCAAAGCTGGAAATATTTACTGTCTGGGCCTTATAAATAAAAGCTTTGCTGGCCTCTCAGCCAGCCACCCAGTAACCCTGTTCTCAACTCCCTCATGCTCTACTCTCTCCTTGCTGCCTCAGAGCCTTTGCACCGCCCTCCCTCTGCCTGGAGCACCCTTCCCCCAGAGAGCCACGTGGCTGGGCCGTCACTGGAGAGGCCTTCGACAGCTCCTTAAATAATAGCATGCACCTTCTCACCCTCTGTCCCCCATCCCCTGCTCTCCCTCATGGTCACCTGTCACCTCGTCCTCTGTCTGCCTATCTGTAGTCTGTCTCCTCCATAATTGAGCACACTCCCCAAGAGCCATGATGTTCCTTTTGTCCACTGCACTATCCCCAGCACCTGAATGGTAGTTGAGTGAATGAACAAGGAAGGAAATGTGACCTAATAAATATATTGCCTGGCTCAGCTGTGAACTGAACTCCCCATTGCCACATAAGGGAACACTGACGGAGCCAAAAAGTCCTGTAAAACGACGCTGAGATGATAGACGAGGAAGGGACACAGAGGCAGTGTCCCTGTGGTGAAGGGTCTCAGGGAAAGGCATGATCTGAGGAGTAGAGAGCAGCTGGTTGAGCCTGTAACGCAGAAATGTGGGAATGAGGACGCAGCTCAAGTTGAAAGGGGCCGTCGCCTCTGTGGCATGGGGTGCTTTTCTCTGTCAGGGCTGAAGCACTCCTGACTGCATTCCGTTAGGTGTAAGGGACTCATTTCTGCAGTATTCACCAGAAGATGGGAGAGGGGTGAGCAGGGGCTTCGAGGGGATCGCCAAGCTCAGGCTGAGCTGATGGTCCTACTGCAGGAAGCTACCAGCCCAGGTGGAGGACCCAAAACATGCCAAGCAACCATGAAGACGGTTCAGAAAAGCTACTTGAACGGAAGCGTCGCACCAGATGCTGAGGCTGGGGGTGGGAGGAGTGCAGGGTACCAGCGCCTGATCCACAGGAGGGGGTGTGGGGGGGTTCAGGGAAAGGGAGGCTGGAACCGAGCAGGGTGGGCCCCAGCTGGGGAATGAGACCTGCACCCCGCGGACCTGGGGACCCCTAACAGAGCAGCAGCAGACAGGCAGTGTTTGAACAGCCCGAGCTGTCAGGGGAGTCCAGGCCTCCGTCACCTTGTGGCTGACAAACAGCGCTCTGGAGAAGGGGGCTGGCTCAGTGTCAAACCAAGTGCAGCCTGCTGGGGTGGGGGACGGAGGGAGAGGCGGAGGGGGCGGGCGGCGGCGAGAGCCTCCTGCCCGGGGACCTGCAGTCCAGGTCCGTTGGTTTGCTTTAGGGGGAGTTGGCCGTACAGAGCCAAAGCAGCTTCTAAAGAGAAAACACATCACAGACCCCGAGCCCTTTCACCGTGTCCACTTACAAGGGCGGTCTTTGTGTTCATGAATGTTCTTCAAGTGACATTTGCTTTCTAAGTGCCAGTTTAGACACAGACAGTCACCGCCGGGGTTCCTTCCTTGGTTACCCTTCCTAAGCCACCTCAAAGCCACGGCCAGCTGAAGCCAGCCCTCTTTCTCTATGGCTGAGCAGAACGGCCTTCAGAGTGCATCTACACACCGGCCCAGGGAGACTCAAAAAGATTAAATGAACTGGTGTTATTGGCTGTCCTACGTGAACACACTAGTATAGACATTTTCAGCCTATTAAAAGTTAAATGGAGGCACATTAAAATTTCCAAACATTTATTTGAGCAAACATCCGTTCACACTGGGCAGCGTCAAACCCAAAGTGGCCAGGAGCCTCCGCCAACAGGAACCAGGGCCAGGTGTTTATGGAGAAGATGGGGAAGCGAGGCAGGGAAGTGAGTTAATTGGCTGCAGCTCCAGCAGCTGCCTTTTTAGGAACTAGTTGTTTGGGACTCCTCCTTTGTAGGTTTCACTCCCAGGATCCAGTGCATTGGCCTGGCTTAGGCTCTGGTTTATTTACCGGGATCAGGGCGTCAGAGCCATGCTGGTGTGATGACCCTCTTACCCAATCACTGTCCAGGTCTCTCTCCCTTCCCGTCTTGCCCCTGCCTGTTTCCTTTATTGCTACAATAGTGATTAGACTCACCTGAGAGTAGGTGAGCCCTGAGGTGGGCATTTAAGTGTGCGGGGCCCCGTGGCAGGCGTGTTCGTCGGCCAGGGTTTCTGGTGCGGTCATGCTGTGTGCTCGCTTTAAATCAGGAGTTGCTTTTTGTTTTTTAAAAAGAATCAGATATTAAGTGTTTTTGAATAATCGTGTTATCTGCATATGGCACACAGCATGTAAAAAAAAAGGCATGGCTGTGTGCCAGTAACACTTTATTTATAAACGCTGAAATGTGAATTTCAGGTACTTTCCTTGGGTCACAAAATAATTCTTTTGACTTTTTTCCCAGCCATTTAAAATGTATTGGGTTGGCCAAAAAGTTCATTTGGTTGTTTTCCCATAAGGTGGCTGTAGTAGCGCTTAGTTATCTTTAACTTCATTTGAAACAATTTTGTTAGATTGTATTGTGACAGCTGTCATATCAGTGTGCATTTTTTTTAAATGATCAAAATTGGTGAATTTTTGTGTCGCCATTTTAATAGTGAAGATGAAAGGAAATAAGCAACATTTTCAGCATATTATGCTTTATTATGTCAGGAAAGGTAAAACCGCAACAGAAACACATACACAAAAAAGATTTGTGCAGTGTATGGAAGCGCTGTGACTGATTGAATGTGTCTAATGTGGTTTGCAAAGTTTTGACCTGGAGATTTCTCGCTGGACGATGCTCCACAGTCGGGCAGACCAGGTGAAGTTGATAACAATCAAATGGAGACATTAACTGAGAATATCAACATTATGCCATGTGGGAGACAGCCATCAAAATACCCAAATCAATAAAGTTATTGGTGAAAGTGAAAAATGTGTCTTATTTTATGGAAAAAAACAAAACGAACTTTCTGGCCAACCCAATAAAAACCATTCTTTCTTGTAGGTTGTACAAACAGGCAGTAAGCAGTGTTGGGTCTGCATTGGGCTGTAGTTTCCCAACCGCAAAGGCAAAAGCACCCTGAAATTTTGTCTTGAATTTAGGCACCTGAACCACTGACTGAGGAGGGGAGGGTATGGGGGAGGCCGGGAGGGTGGCCTGCTGCGGAGGAGTCAGTCACCCCTGGAAAGACGCCTCACCAATGGCGGCCTCTGAGGCTGACCGCTGAGACCACCGTTCCTGCCCTGCTCCCATCTGCCTGTCCCCTCCTCAGTCACCCTGGGACACAGGGGTGGTCGGGCAGCTGGCAGGTTCCTTGCAGGTCTAAAGGGTCCCCAGACAATCTCAGAGCTGAAGAAAAGCCTGGTTCACCTGCCTGGCGGGGCTCCATGCTCCTGGAAGGTGCCTAGCTTCTGTCCGCCCCCTCCCCAGCTCCATGGTGATCAGAGACCTCACCCTGCGCAGCGCGGCCAGCTTCGGCTCCTTCCACCTGATTCGCCTGCTGTATGATGAGTACATGTTCTACCTGGTGGAGCACCGCGTCGCCAAGGCAACTGGGGAGACACCCATTGCCGTGATGGGAGAGGTGAGGGCCACAGAGCAGCCTGCGGGGGAGCGGGGGGGAGCAGGTGGTGAGAGGCGGCCACAGGGCCTGACGGAGTGGACAGAGGGCAGGAGAGAGCTCTCATGCTGGAGCCCGCAGGTTCACAGCCAGCCCTTCACCCTCACCCTGGGCAGGATTTCCTGCCTCCGAATGAGGCCTCAAACACCCTGCCCTATGGAGGGTTTTATCCTGGTAAAAAACACATAACATAAAATTTTCTGTCTTAACCATTTTGAAGTGAACAATTCAGTGGCAGCTATCACCTCTATGTGATTCCAGGACAGTCCATCACCCCAAAAAGAACCCTTGTCCCCAGCAGTCATTCCCTTCCTCCTCCCCAGACCCCGGCACCCACCAATCCACTCCCGTCTCTGTGGACTTGCCCGTTCCGCACACTTCACATAAACAGAATCACGCGCCTGCGGCTCCGCTCGCTGAGCATCAGGGGTCCAGGGTTCGCCCGCCCTGCAGTGAGCGTCATTGCGTCGCTCCTTTTCGTGGCTGAGCCATATTCCAGTGTGTGGGTGCTCAGCATTTATGTGTCCATCTCTTGATGGACATTTGGGTTTTCCCACCTATTGGCTACTGGGAATTGTGCTGCAATGAACATGTATGTACACATTTTTGTTTAAACACCTGTTTTCAGTTACTTTCAGTATCTACCCAGGAGTGGAGTTTCTGGGCCATGTGGGATTGTTTTGAGGAAGAAAGGTGGTGATACTTCTATGGCTTTTGGAACATAATAAATGCCCTTGATAAATGCCAGCTTTTCCTTCGCTCACTATTCGGAGCCCACACCCCTGTCTCCTCGCTGGCCTGGGCAGTCAGCACCCCCTCACCCCTCCAGCACCTTGCAGATGCAGCCCCTAAAGCGTCAGAGGGGACGCACAGCGTCACAGCTCCTCCCCCTGTCAGAGCCCCTCACTGACAAAGCAGAGCCAGTGTTAATGCGGGTGGGTGACATTGCTAACCTTCACCGGGACCACTCTGCGGAGGGCCCTGACTCTGGTCTTCTCCCTTTCAGTTCAATGACCTCGCCTCCCTGTCACTGACACTGCTGGACAAAGGTGGGTGTGTCCGTGGCTTTCCCATGAGGCTTCCTCCTGCCCCCGGCCCGGTACAACTCGGGGCAGCTCCTGGGGCGGGCTCAGGGCCTCAAGGGCTGCCAGCGTCCAGGCAGCGGAGATGCCCGGCAGCAGTGCACGCCCGGCGCTGCCTCCGAAGGCCTGGCCCAGCGGGCGCTCAGAGGAGCAGCCCTGCTCCCTCCTGCTCACGTGCGGCACTTTGGGGCAACACTTAATCCTGATCCCTGGGCACCCCCCCCCCGCCCCCGCACCAGGCCGCAAGGAGCAGGGCCACAGCCAGGAGAGAGGTGGAGGGGCAATCTGAAGGGGGAGCGGGGCACAAACCTCCACCTCTGGTGTATCCCCTGCCTCCACAGGCAGGAGGACCAAGTGCCAAGGGAAAACCTGCCAGGAATGCGCACTGGGCAAATGAGCACTGGTCAAGGGCGGTCACGGCTAAGAAGGCCAGGAAGTGCCAGGTTGACCCAGACCAGAGCTGAGGCCTGTTCATGTCTGGGCACCTCTCTGAGGATGTGCTTCTCTCCCTCTCTTCCTCCCATGGCCCCCCCATCAACCCTTGTCCCCAACACCCACCCCGCAGATGACATCAGTGAAGACCGGAGCAGCGAGGCCGACACAGACGCCCGCAGCCTGGGTGAGCCCCTGGTGAAACGGGAGCGCAGCGACCCGAACCACTCTCTGTAGGGGCCCAGCCCCGAGGCCCTCCCTCAGGTTCCCCGGCCTCCTCGCCGCACCGCAGCCGTGCCTCTTACGTGAAGTGACCCTGACCTGACTCACAGGGTCCCCGGGCAAGGACACGCTCTTCCTCCCGAAGAAAAAACGTGGTTCGCCACAGCCAAAGGTCATGCCCCACTCTGAGAACCTGCGTGGCTCCCCTGGGCCACCCGGATCTTCTTTTGCTCCAGCCCGTCTTAGTCCTCCTGTCCGCCGGGCTGTGACCTTTGGGCTTCCACACGCCCTGCCGATTGCTGGACGGGCCGTGCTAGGCGGGTCGGCACCTCCACGCCGGGCTTCTCCCTTCAGCTTGGTCCAGTTTTCTCCGTGATTTTTAAAACTCAGGCAGATCCCAGGAAGGAAGGGTGTCTCGCAGCTGTTGGGCAGTCCCAAGCTGTCCTCTTCCGCAGAGACCCTGCCCTGGTGCCGCTGTGGTGGGAAGGGACCGTCTCTGCACCACGTCCCGTGGTGTCTCGTGGGCAGGCTGTCCTCGGCCTCCTGTCCTGTCCTGAGACAGGGAAGCCTCCCTGTAGAGTCCCCCACTCGAGATGCCAAAGGACCCCACAGCATGTCCCTGGATGGTGGGCAGCCCACCGCTCCACATGGCTCAAGGAACAAGTCACATAGCTAGGCCTGCTGAATCTTCGACAGTTAACACCAGAAGTGTTACCAGCAATGGGAAGGACTGTGGTTCTGCCCAAGGTCACAGCCAACACAGCCAAGCCACTGAGTCTGGGATGCATGTGTTCCGAGAGGGCCAGGGCGGTCAGTGTTCCAGCGGTGCCTTCAGAGGGCCACCATCCCGCCAAGTCTACACAAATAGCCAGGCCTGCAGCCTGTTCCACAGATTCTTCTAGAAGGCCTGCTCTGGAAGTGGCAATATTGGAGCACAGTGATCCCAGGCAGGTCCCATCTTGAACTGTTCAAAGTTGAAATCTTCTCTGGGAACAAACAGATCCCAGGGACTTGCACAGCCCTGAACTTTAAACTCCCGGTCTGTGTCCATTGTGACACATTGCACTTGGTCAGCTCCGTGCGAGAGTTTGTCCCAAAAGGAACTGCAAAGAAGAAAGACAAACCTCTAGTCTAGGAAGCGCCATCTAATGCAATGCAATAGTTTCTCTTTTTGGAAATATGTTTATACCAATAGTTTTGTGCTCCAGTCGTTATTAGAACGTTTCTTGTGTGTATTGCAGTATATTTGATCTCCCTAATTTTTTCTCATTCATATCAAGCAGGAGCTCTTGGCCCACCTCAGCCCTTGCCAGGTATGCAGAGTCAGGGGTTGGGGCAGCCGGAAGGATACGTGCTGATTCGAGAAACCCGAAGTCCGTGATGACCACAATGTTTGTTTGGTCTTAGAGTTCCAGGCTTAGATGAAAACAGACAGAACATCTTTAAATATACACTTCTTCTGCTGGAAGGCCCTGAAGCTCGCAGTTCATGAACCGTCATTGCCTGCCCCAGAGCCAGCTGGGTTCTGCCTGAGGCTCTGTCTTGTCCTTTGCAGGATTCCACAAGGAGGACTACAAATGACAGTAAAGGCACAAGCCTTCCGAGCCCATTCTCATTTCTCATTGCAGTAGACACGTTACGCATACCCATTTGGGGGTCACAATCCACATGCCGACTGCCCCCACGCCCCACCACCAGTGGTCCTGGGGGATAGGCCCACCCTCCCGCCTGTCCCCCTGCCCTGGCCTGCGTGGTGGCAGCACCCCCCGCCCCTGACTTTCCTCCCAGCTCTGGGGAGCAATGGAGACACGGAGCATGGTCTTCAAGCTTCACTTAGCAAGTCTAGCCCAGGGCCAAAGACGGCAAGAAACAATTCTCAGCCCAGGATGGTTGAGGCCATTTGTAAATAGACTAAGTTCATTCAGATATTACAGAATAAATCCACACTCCAGCCACTGAAGCAGCCTACCAGTTATTTTCCAGGTTCACTCTGTAGAGCAGTGGGGACCAATGTCCAGAATCCTCTCAGAACAAATGCTAGAGCTTGTCCCAAAGTCACCAATCCCTGGGCCTCGGCCCCAGAAAGCCTGCCTCTTGGGGTTGGGGTGGGAGCTGGGAATCCACATTGTGACAACCCCTTCCCAGGGGACTGTGACACAGGGTATCACAGGACTTTGAAGAAACCCTGCGGAGGAAAGTGACACCATTCCCAGTCAGCCTCCCCTAAAAGTGACTTCTCACTGCCAAGCCAGTGTCCCACACCCCTGCAGGGATGCTCAGCCTCGGGCCCCAGACCAGGCAGCTCCATCCCAGGAAGAGGCCCTGGACCCCCAGATGACACTAAAATCATCCATCACCTCCCTGGGCTGGGACTCCAGGGTCTGTGCGTTCCTTAACGCTTTGCTCTCACTATCTTGAAATTCTTAAATCTTTGGACAAAGGATCTGCATTTTCATTTTGCACTGGGCCCCATAAAGTCTGTGGCTGATCCTGGGGAACCACCCCAGCTCCGGGCCCCGACTCTAGGCTGACTCCCTGCCAGGCTCTCAGAACCCCGACTCACCCCTGCCCGCTTGTGGTTCACAAATTCAGCCCCTGAGCAGTGCCAGCCCGCGCGCCAAACCGCAGCCCCCCGGTCTTCCCCGCAGAGGGCCAGCCCTTTCCTGGGGTGGCAGGGGCCCTGGAGGAGGAGTGCCAGGCCCTGGCTGCTGGGCCTGAGTAGCTGGCGAGGGAGTGAGCCCGGGCGATGCCCGCATGCTTACTGCCCCAGGAGCCGAGGAGATGAGTAGGGGAACCTGTTGAAGGCCCACAGGCTGTCAAGTCCCTCCGAGGGCCCCTGGGTAGGGCTCTGGGGAGCAGGCACCGCACAACACAGGGAACCCAGTCCTACCAAGAGACTCTGGGAGCGTCTGCCTAATCACAGAAGCTCCACGATGGGCACTTTGGTCTGACCTCTCCTTTTCGACGATCTTCCAAAGTAGGTGTTACGCCCATTGCACACATGGGAAAATGGAAGCTGCTGGCTGGAATGCAGACGTGATGGCTGGAGCCCCAACATCCATCTTAGATTCTGAGGTGGATGTTCCATAATAAAGATGGCAAAATGAGACAGAAGAAGCCTGGGTCCCTGGTGGTCATTACAGCCCTAAGAGCCCCCAGTCAGAATTCAATAAGCCACAGTTGGGGGTGTGGTGCAAGGGGACCCATAGATATTCCTTCCTCCAAGAACTGGTAGCAAGAACTCAAACAAGATACAAGGTGTCCACACGTTCCTCATCCGCAGGTGTTAGCTTTTGTCTGCCTTGCTCAAGACGATCTGCCCAGCAAACATTTAGTGAATGAGTGAATTAAGGAAAGGGGAAGGTTTCTGGGGGAAGGTACTACTCCTGGTGGTCATGAGAAGATAGGGGCAAAGAGGAGAGGAAATGTGGAGGAACGATGAGGGGTGGACAAAGTAAAGAGAAAGGAGCCCCGCCTGGTGTGGCTCAATGGGTTGGATGTCGTCCTGCAAACCGAAAGGTCACTGGTTTGATTCCCTGTCAGGGCACATGCCTGGGTTGTGGTTCAGGTCCCTGGCTGGGGGCATGCAAGAGGCAACTGATCAATGCTTCTCTCACACATCAGCGTTTCTCTCCCTCTCTTTCTCCCTCCCTTCCCCTCTCTCTAAAAGTAAGTAAAACCTTTTTTTAAAAAATGTTTAAAAGGTGGAAAGGAGGCCATCATCGAAATTTTTTTTATCAAAGCTGGACTGATCCTGGCAGGGTGGGTTACACACGAAGAAACTGGAAGCAAGGGCGTCATCTGGGGACATGCTAAGGTCTGCCAGTGGGGGCTGTGGGGGCTGGACGAAGCGTAGCCTGGGGTGGAGCAGGGGGCTGAGAGGCCCGCAGGAGCTCTGTGCCCAACAGCAGGCCAAGTGGGTCAGGAGATCATGCTGGTGGCTTCGGACCAGCTTAGTTTCTTTTCAAATGGACCAGGATAGAAATAGAGAAGATCAGGAGTGTCTATGTAATAAAGATAAACATGGCTTTGAAAAATTTTAATTTTAGTAAATATCAATGCAGGTATCATACATGTATGTATGGTATTGGGCTGTATTGTATGGAATATTCATATGTATCAAAAGGCACAATACCAGAGGGCAGTTCTCACCCTATTTTGAGAATCCTTCTAGAATGCTCTCAGATGGGCCACTGTGGGTGTGGCTCTCCAGCATCCATTCCACCGTCCTTTGGGACCGCCGTTCTCCCACGGCTTTAGACACCATCTCTATGTGGCACTCACTCTCTCACGCACTGAAGGACACCGTCCCAGGCATTGTCGTGTGTGGGGAGCGACAAGGAGGCCGCTGCTATGGGCGCAGGGTGAGTGATGGGGCAGGACGGGCGACTGGGGGGAGACAGGGAAGGCTTCCTAGATCTGGCGAGGCCTTGGGGCTTCATTCCGGGGTGGTGGCCCATGACTGAGCCCTCCAACGGACAGCTTCCCCCTGGGTGCCTCCACGGGCATCGGGACAGCTCACATGGCATCTCATCAGTAGCCGGGCACCTGGGGGCACCCCCTCAGTCAACATCTGGTGGAGGTGCGAACCGGGTAAAGGCGACGTCGCAGGCAGGACGGGGGTTGTTAACACGTGCCCCGCGGTGCTCGGCCCATCCCGCAGCACTTTCTCCTCCGAGAGCTGAATGACTAAGACTGAAAGCAACTGAGGTTTGGGAATCCTCGGGAGGTGGCCGCCGACACTGCTAAACGGTTCCCCGCCAGGGACCCGCTGGGACGGTCCAGTTTCTTCTCTTTTCTTTTTGATCTTACCAGCATCCTCTTAAATTTCAAGCAAATCCCCCTTTTGCTCACATTTGCCAGAGGTGGTTTTGGGGATTTGCAACCAGTCTCCAAACCGAGGCACCCTCAGTACCCATGAGTTTTGCAGACAGGGTCGGAAGGGATTCTCGGACCCCTCAAGTCCCCTCGGGAAGCTGTCTTAGAGGAGGCGCATGCGTACTGCTCGGAGCGTCCTCCTCCGAGCGGTCCGGCGCGGCGCG